ATGGATTATGATGTAACCTCGACATGGACCATCCAAGTGGGCATTTGATTTAACTTAAGCAAAAACAAACAAAAACAGGGAGGTTTTGATGCGAATGTTATGCTTTATCTTTTTCTCTAGTGGGCTCTCATCTTATGTATTTTATTCTTGCACACAAGAAGGTTTTGTATTGGCAAATAAGGGTGCAATTTGGACATATCAATCTGAACAAAACTCGAGTCTGCCTGAATTCAGTGCTCGAGCAAAGATTTTTAATTTTCAAATTGGACATGGACAAAGAAATTCCAATCCTATTCAGTATTACACAATTATCGGTTTAAATGGTCAGGATTCTGAAACTTTTCAAACTCAATTTGAATTTCAAGATGATTTGTGTAATGCTAATTACATCTGATTCTTATCCTATTTGAATCTGGTAATTGAACTCCTATGTTAGCTTGAGTTCTACATCTTAAGTTTGGCTTGATTCTAAAAATTAAATCATGAGCAATATTCAGATTGAAAGGATTTGTATTAGACCCGGGTTTAGAGATTGAACTAGTTGAGCTCGAGTTGACATTTCAATCCCTCCAATCCGCTCGAATTGCAACCTTAACTTGCAAGGATGATTGAAAATCATGCTCTTTTGGAGTCACCAAAGGTTGTTATAAGCATATTTCTTTTGGTTTCATGGCGTGTACTTTAGGACCACATCACCTTTCTTAGCTTGAGCACTAGCGCATACACCTTTCACTTTCTTCTTTGGGTAAGGACCTTCCACTATGGTTTTCTTTTTTGTGTTATTTTATGGCTGTATACTAGGTATGCTTGTCATCATCATGCAACCCTATAGGACTTAGCTGTTTTATAAATGCATAATTAATTTCTGTTTTTCTCGTAAAGTCATTCTACTAAAATTTCTCTACTAAAGGACAATGTAATTGACTCGATATCCCTTTCATAGTTCCATCCATCTACGTTTGGTCCCTCTGTTTTCTCTAGAAACCTCAAATTGCAAAGTGAAAACCAAATACTAAAGGGCGATCTAGATGTAAGAATTAATGTGACCCACGTGATTTGGTAAATGTGATTATCGAATAATTACTTTGAGTCAGATAATAATAAGGTTATTTAATAGTTTATGATTGGTCAATTAAGAGAAGTAATTTCCTGGCCTCCTACTTTGATGGGAAGTGAAATTATTGTTGAACAAAGAAAAAGAAACTGGTCATCTCTCTACTTATATATATATATATATATGGGTTATGTTGTGTATCGTTAGATTAAATGTTAAGAGAGATAACTTGGTTTTTGTGCTACATCAAAAAAGTTCTTGGACCAGTGATCAAGTAATTCAATGTTTACGATTATGACTTTAGGTATGTTGATTATGATGTTTTTAATTTCACATAATTGATATGTGAAAATAATGATTGTTCTAGATTTTAGAATTAGGATTTGATTGATTTTCTGCTAAAATAAAGTTTATACTAGAGATTTACTGACTGAGGGGAAGGTCGTCAAATGCACACAACCTAACTGTCCACGGTTAAGAAACTATTTTCACGATTCGAAACTGTCATGCTCAAGTCACCTAAAAGCCTTGATTTACGAAAATTTCCGAAAGGATTAGAAAGTGAGAGACAATAAATGTTGTTGTTATATCAATATTATTCTTGTACAATAACAAAATAAACGATGGGAATATGGGTGAAAAAAACATCTTGGCTTATTAGTTTCGATCCTCAAAAGAGACTCATGTCACGGTTTGTCAGAGGAGGACAATCTGTGGGTGATCATATACATTTAAAATTTACATTGTAATCACGAGTTCGTACACAGCTGGAATGAGCAAAATAGAACACAGCTAGCACTGATTCTTTTAGTTGGCCATGACCTATTGAGATTGCTGTCTTGTTTGACTACAGACAACTTATTGCTGGACTCATTATCCGTATCCAAAAGATTTCAAGACACTGTGAAAGTCAATTTTAGCTCAATCAAAATTTGCTTTGTTTTACAAAAAATGATGTCAGTTCTTTCAGAAAACCTTAGAATATCGGAGGAAGACATGTCATGGCCAGGTTTGCTTGAAAATGAAAGTGATGTGTGTTTGAAAACTTTTAAATTTACAGGAAAGCAATGAATGACATATACCATTAAAATTATGCATCCACTGTTGGTTCTCAATGTGAGGGAAGTGGGTAAGGAAACCATTGCTGTGTACTCTTGAGAAAACTATTATAACAATGCATTCAGATAAACTCACTTCCTTCGTGAGGAATTTCTCAATGCAAAGAAGGGGTAGGAAACCATTTTGTGGTTTGTGAGACTTGATCTTTGGTCGTGTTTTATTAAGGATAGACAGTTCGTTAATCACTTGATAAGTGTACTTTACTCTTGAGAAAGTTATTATAATAATGCATCCAGATAAACCCACCTCCTTCGTGAGGAATTTCTCAATGTGAGGAAGGGTTCTGCAATAAACCGGTGCGACTTGTGAGACTTAATTACCTATCGGTTTAAGAGTGGATGAAATTTTAAACATTCAAATAAACCCACTTCCTTCGTGATGAATTTCTGAGTATCATATGAAAAATATTGAATGGTCACTAATTCCATCTCCTTTCCCATTTTTTTCCCCATTCTCTGAGGTTTGTAACAAATCATCATCTCTACACTTGGAAGTCACTTGCAATATTCCTCAATTGTAGCTTGTTAGAGGATCATCTTATGGTTGGATTTTATCGATCTAAATCTAAATTAAAATTCGATTTTAAACTTCCAATCTGAATTTGGCAAATATGTGGCATATTTTACTTGTACAATACATATTCAAATCTGTTAAAAGTCGAAAAACTAATATGAAAGCTCAATTTGATCCAAATAAGTCATACAAAATTAAAATTTTATCAAACTAAATATGAATCTAAACTCAATTTCATTCTGCACTTACTCAGATGTACATAAAATTTAGAATAGATCATGATCGAATCGCACATCAATAAATATATATCAGATTTTATTAAAAATTATATAACAGATTTAAATTTGAATTTTGATAATCCATCAAAAATATATTCTACTAATTGAAGGTGAGCTCACTACTTTAAAGCATGGGAGGGTTTGTCATTTGTTGTCGACGCACATAGTGTAGCTCCAAAGTATCCTCACTAAACTTTTGATCAATTGAGAGAAAAAGCATCACCGACAATCAAAAAGGTTGTCTTAGTGGAGGATGATTTCATACCCTTTTGATTTTTGAAAGGATTTGAATGTATTTATATGAAAAAAAAAAAAAAAGACTTTTTCTGCAATCTCACTAACATAAACTCTTCCGTACGATTAATGTGAGCCCTCAATTACTATTCTTGCATATAGTGTCAAAGCATCCAATTCTTCACAAGAAAGTGGGATGATTAGGGAGACCCTACAACAAGGCTACCATAAAAGTTAAGGTGGGACAAGCTTTAACATTTTCCTTGAATATAGGAACTATCTACTCATATGGGAGAATCTTACTTGAAAATTTCTTGAAATTCAATGTTGATACCTCCAGAAACAATAACGTGAGAAATTGTATCCAAGTGAATATAGATGGTTACAAAAAACCACAAGCCGGAGAATTTTAAAAGTTTGGTTCAATAATGAAACCCTATAGTATTTGTTTAACCATTTTTTTTTTTTGGCATGCTTCATGTGGACCATTTGATTAAAGGAGTCTCACTAACCTTTTAGTGGTTACCATCACATCAATTGCAAATAAAATTTGGTAGGAAAAGCTTATTTGGGTAGTATAATTTTGAACTTGACTATAGTACTGAAAAATAATCTTTTTGTATCATACTGAAATATGTTATATTTGTGGATGCTTTTATTATTGTTATGAGTTTTTATAACTATTGTGATATTAAAATAGTGACCATAATAGTAGTACAAACACCCATAACAATAGTAAAAAAATTCACAAAAATAATAAATTACCTATAAAAGTGGTAAATTTTTTTGCATTGATGAAAAGTGGTAAAAAAAGTTACCATAATTGTGGTAAAAACATCATAGTTATAAAAATATTTATAAAAGTGGTAAAATCAGTTATAAAAGTGATAAATTTTTTGATTGTAAAATAACTCACAAAAATTATAAAAATCCTCTTTGGAGAAGGAAATTTTTGAAGTATGGTTCCAAAATATTTTTGACTACACCTTAATAAAATCCAATAATTGTATATGTTGTCAATTATAAATAGGGATGTGGGTGGTCTTGTAAATTCACAATTATGTGGATAGCATGAATGATGAGGTAACGTTCAAAGTGTGTGGGCTGTGATGTTCCTTCCTTTGAATGCAATCAACCTAGATTTTGACTCTTAAGGCAAATGAATGAAATGATTATATTTTGACTCTTTAAGACATAGAATCATACATGAGGAATTGCACTAAATGAGAGAGAAGCAATCACTGTCAAGAAATATATGAGGGAGAACTGTTTTGTTTCCTGGCCATTTGTTGGTTTTTGATCTTTTATTTTGGAAGTAAAAGAGAAGGGGAATATCACAACCAGTTATTTGGAGCAATGTTAAATACCATCTTTTCTTTTATTCTACATTCGTGGACACGTATGGATAATTCTCAATCAAACCCAATTTCTATCCACATGAGACTTTGAGAGAGACTTCACACAAACTAGTTTTTCTATATTCTCTTTTTTATTTTGTGGCAGATTTAGAGTTGTATAATCCAGGTGGTGTCAAAAGCACAGCCTCTCCCACCCCCATCCGCACCCCCACCCCCACACCCCCCCCCTATGGTACTTTTGGGCACTACAAATTCATACCCTACCCCCTCACTTATCCCGCATACTCCATCTCCTCTGTCCTCTCTCTCTCTCATCAAAACCTTGGAAAGTCTGCTCTTCCTCTTCGTCAGCTTACACCTCTGGGGAAGAATTTCCTTTTTTTTTTGTTCCTTGAACTTTCAGTAAACCTTTTCTTTTCACTTCTTGACCATTTTTCAATCAACATGTCCACCATAGTGTGCCAAGGTGTACAATCATGTCTCGACACACAGCTTGTTGAGACAAGGATTCTCAGACTTACTTTTTCTGCCCCAAAATCCATAGAATTCGGCATGGAAACTAGAGAGAAATGCCATTATGAAGACACCCACAAGAAGGCTACAACACATCTAGACAATGGGGGTTGGAGTTTTCTGCAGTCTCTCTCCAATATCTCACAGACCCACAAAGAAGAAACTTCTGAAAAAAGCCCATATGTCCATCCTTTGGCCAAGCTTTCTTCTTCTTCTTCAAGGCTTACCCAAAAAAGCCTTGAACTATGCACTGAAAACTTGGGCTGTGAGACAGGTACTGATATCAGTGAAAGTACCATTTTCTCCTCCTCTTCATATACAAACAGTGAAAGTTCACCACCAAGGGAGATAAAGAATTGGGTTAAAAAAATGGAGCCCAGGAAGGTGAATTCTGGCAATTTTCCACCTCCATTGACGACAATAAGGGGTTCGAATTCTCTTCAAGTTAGGCCACACCGTGAAGGTGGAAGATTGATTATCAAAGCCGTTGAGTCCCCATCAACACACTCATATTTTCAAGCTGAAAGAAGCAATGGACGCTTTCGACTATCCTTTTTGAAGGACTGTGGCTCAAACTCTGACTTAGAAGAGACTGATGGAGAAAATGAGGAGGGAAACGAAGACGATGACCTAGAGGAAATTGAAAATGAGGCTGATGAAAGAGAAGAAGATAGAGAACAGTTTAGTATACGAGACACTATTCATTGCAGAGTACGTGAATTATCAAATGTAAGTCGCTTTACTCCCGAAGAGAACGTTTTCGTCACTCCTTTACACGAAGAGAATGTTTCTACCACTCGAACCCATCACCGCATAATAGAAAATCAAGATGATGAAGAAAAATATGGACAAGAAGATGAAGAAGAAAGGAGTGTCTACATGGGGAAGGATATGCATGATAATAGTTTTGATGTTGGGGTTGAAATGGGAATGGAAAAGTTTCAAAGCCCAAGCAGGTGCAAGGAAAGTGGGCATGGCAACAAAAGATTATGTAATTGGGAGCCTCTTTGGGTGGCTACTTCCTAAAGTTTTCTTCAGGATGTCTCCATATTCAAATTACATAATTTTCAGTTTTTTTTTTGTTATTTTTTGAGAATTGTAGCAATTATGTTTTTTTTTTTAAATTATGATATATAACAAAGGTCGGAATGTATATTATGATCGATTCACAAATCACGTGCATCACAACAACCAAGTCTTACTTACTAAAATCTCAATGTTTTAATGATCAAAACTCTATCATTTGAGTTACCTTAAAATTGTAATGTTTTCAGAATTCTTTATATTTTCTTACCCTTTTTCTAAGAAATGTGCTTTGTGGGTGGTAGTTATGATCTGAACATACCTCTATAACCCCACCCTCTCTCTATCTCTATCTCTATCTCTATCTCTATCTCTATCTCTCTCTGTCATAATCTTGTGTTCCTTCTTGGGCAATGTGAAATAGAGATAGTGCTGGACTTTACAATTCCCATCAGAAATAGTTCTAAGGAGTAATACCGCACATGTAATATATAGTTCTCAAATCTTGGTAGTGACAAATACTTGAACACTGCCGTGTGAAGTTTTTATTCTCTAAATCCAGTGGTCTATGGTTCAATAGTAAGAGGTATTACTATAGGATTACACGAATCAATTTACCAACTACCACGATGTTCAAAATTAGTGCCCTCTTTGTCATAGTTTTAAATTTATTTCCTAATCTACTGTACTTTTTTATAAAAAGCATGGTTTAAACTCATTATTCTAAGATTTTTTTTATTGAAAATGAGTTTTGTAATATTGACAAGAATTTAATTGTCTTAATGGAATAGGAATAAATTAGAAGTGATGTCACGGACCCGTGCACTCTCCAACAATATCTACATGACAAATATGCACATCAAAGCATGACCTTGGCTCCAGGTCAACAGTAGAGTTGAATATATTTAACTTTGACATTTTCTGGTTCTTATGATTGCTAACTGCCCAAATTTTATATTATTTTGACTCATGATTGTTAGATAAATTTAGAATCGAAGAGATAAGGGAGAGACTCAAAGTTCACTTATCGTGGCTCCCCGAACTTGAAATACAAGTCGAGGGGCTGCTCAATGATAAGAAGAGTCAAGCCATCTCGAGCATGTTTGTGAGACCTTACTCAAGATGCATAGGAAAGTCAACTTATAGACACGGAAGAGCGTCATAACGCTTCCATTTTTTAAGTAAATGTCAAATTCTTAACTCTATTGATGACTCCATCTAAAATAGGGAAGAAGAGAGCCCTACAAGGAAGATTGGGGCTATGAGGAGTTTGACAAGTATCTACAGACCTTCTCACCCTACATCAATGAACAAAACATAATATAATAAAATTTCACTATCAACAAAGGTGAGTAAACGAAGTTTCCTAACCCATATGATTAATAACGAAGTTAGATATCAAAATTGAAGGTCAATATCTTATGTCAAAATTAGGTCGGTCAATCGTGTCGAATGAAACGGATTTTCTTAACAGTTTTAGTGGGTTCGTGTTAAAAAAGAATTTCATTTATACCTAATTTATTTATTAATTCGTATCTAACGAAGCATGTTACATCGGGTTCTTATCATGTATGAATTATTCATAAATCAGTATATAAAATTGTTGTATCGTATATTTTTTTTGATTGATTTTATTCATACTTAATTTATTAATTGTGTAAAATCGGGTCTACACGTTTATTAAAAAAGTGATTTAAAGAATACTCAAATCTTATAATTTTATATCGTGTTAACATATGATGTCATCTACAGTTTATCTACGGGCACGAAAAAAAAGGAATTTTTTAATAGTAATAATGAATTAAAGGACTCAATAAAATCCAGCTGCATTTGATCTGTAGTTCACGTAGACCGGGGCAAGAACAGCAATTGATATCAAGCTGTCGAGCAGAATCCAATTACCTAAAAGCAATAAAAATCCAACCTTATGACGTAAAATAGTTCATAGATAGACACCCCCATCATTATCACGTTCGGTACAGTATTTTTATTTTTTATTTAATAAAAAATATTTTTTATTTAATTAATAATTATAAATAATTCTATTCAAAATTAATAATTCAAATTATTTTTCAACACGACATTGCGGAGGTTACAGTGGCCTTACTCATACAAAAACATAAAAGTCAATGAAAACATGAAACATGTCACAGATATCGGAATATCCACGGTTTTGACAAGTCAAATGATGAAATAGTTTCAAAGATTGGTCAACTATACAATGGATTCAAACATTCATAGTCATACTATAATTTTATCCTTTTGGTTTTGGGAATCAAACTATAATATTAGAAATTAATATAATTTAGTAAAATTATAAATTAATAAAAATTTTGAGGTGTCTTATTGTAGTTGGATGAAAAAATTACTTTGAGTATGGGAGTGAGATTGCACACCATATACTTTTCTAAACTTCATTATAATCGAGAGTTTTCTATAATGAAATGGCAATTGGCCAGCAGTGAGACTATAAACTCTAAGGGGTAGTCGAAGTACTAATAGGGACGAGTTGTAAATTTAGATATCATATTTTCGAATTTTGACAATCTTTTTGGTCTAGGTTATGAGAGATTTATTTTTCATAAATATTTTAATTAATTCCGTTGTGAATGACTTGCATCTTTAATCAAATTAAAAAAAAATTAGTCGAGATACACATAAATCAGTTTGGATAACCTTTATGGTGACCCAAACTTGGTCCCCATCACCATGTGAAATTTTTGTAAAGCGTTTTCTATGTATGTGTTTTTGATCTTCATTGCATAACATTTTTAAAGTCGTATGGACTTAATCCAGAACGAATAGTATGTTACGATGCGGGTTATGAGAAGCTAGGGCAGTCACGCATTGGTTCATCAATCATCGGTGCACCCTCTTCGTTTTATTTCTTAAATTTTAATATTTAATGGCATCAATTATGCTTAGTCCTATCAAACTATATTTTTAGGCAGGTTAAATCAAAGGATCATGTAGCTTAACACATAGATCTTTGACATTTCAATTTAACTTTATTTTTTTTAAAATAAAAGGGACTTAAGTGACATTGTAATCAAATTCTATAGACTAGTGGTATAATTTATACATTTAAAATAAGACCACAATATATTTTCTTGATATAATGTTAAACTATATATACCTTTGTGAAGGAGGGACACAATCTTTGGTAACCAGAAGAGTAACATCAAAGAAGAAGGAGGAGAAAATTGGAGAAGATATGGACTATCAGGCATGGCATGAGTAATATCACAAGAACTTAAAATGTTGATTTAATCAATCACTATCATTGATTTAATTATAGATTTAAGTATTTATTGGACCCATCAATTTTTTTAAGGACAAGTAACAATTTTCCACATGAAAAAGGTCCATAAAGTTGCTTCAATCACGACCGTTGAAGTGTTTGTGCTTATCCTTTTTTTGATTCAGAATCAGTCTGGTGTGGTCTACGAGTAAAACATACAACAGTTGTGTCATGGGAGAGGACAAAAGATAGGGATCCAGCAATCAATATTGGATTTGAGAGAGAGAATAAAATTTGCTTTCGCTTGACAATATTTTGCAATAATACCACATAGAGAGAGAGAGAGAGAGAGAGAGAGAGACCTAAACGGCTGAAAATCATGAGAGAAATATTGAGAATATTCTGCCATCTTGTAAACTTTGGAGAGAGATATACTTTGTGATCTTTTAAATCAACTAATATTTTTCTACCTTCCATATTTGCAATCGAAATACAACTTCTTTTAATCTCGACCAAAAAGACTCGAGAGTCCGTCAGAATGGTAATACTCTCTAAATTTGCATCTATTGGTGCTGAGTTCGACTTTTCTCTTTAATTATATATATATATGGATCAAACATACAAACAACCTTCTTAAAACTCAACAACTCGGATAGAAATTCAGAGTCTCTCAAATTCAAATCCATATATTTTTTCATCATGTAAATCTCCCAAAATTTAACAACTCATATAAGAATTCATTGTCCCTCAAATTCATATCCATATACTTTTTCATCATGTAAATTTCCCAAAATCTAAAAAGAAAAAAGAAAGAAAAAATCTAGAGCTTTCCCCATCCAAAAGATTCCAAGTATATCACAAAAAGACATGTTCCACTCATAACAACCATATCTTCATGCGCTTTAATCTCTTGAAATTCCCATCATTCAAAGAATCTAACACACACATCCTACCAAATGCCTTTCTGTTTTCCAGAAACCCACTTTACTTGCATGCAATATCCAAAAAGTTTAGCAAAATCTATCATTTCCTCACCTCACCAAACAACTCAATAGATTTGCATTATATTTGTCTGGGAATAAATGGAATTTTTTTTTTTTAAAGATTTTGGTGATCTTTTTGGTGGGAAACGTAAGAGACACCTTGTGACCCAACTAGCATAATGTCCCCTCCATCTTTTCAATCATTTCTTGTTAAACTCATGTATCTAATACATTCTACATCAACAAAAGCAATTAGTATCTAAGTCAGAGTAGGGACGATGACAGAGTTAGAATTTTATTTTTATAATACTTAAATAGTGTTGCAATGAAAAACTGTTTATTTCTATTACTTCTTCTATGATTTTCACAGATTTGACCAGATGAAACGGATTCTTGAACTATTATTATTCTCACTATGCATATAAGAGAGGAGCCGTATTTAATATGGTCATTAATATGAGTTATCATCAATGAATATTTAATTGTATACAACTTATCAAAATAAACTTTCACCATCACCAAAATATTTAGGAAAGATTTCAGCTACATCCCTCCTAGTTTACTATATTTTCAATGACACATCCTCTATTATCAAAAATATTACTGACACTCTTTATAGTTTATATTTAAACATTACTAACATCTCCTACCATTAAACTATCATTTCTAACAAAAAAAAAAACTCATCTAAAATATCAAAAATGCCCTTATATAAACCTCAAGTAATTTTTTTACATAAAAATTTATTAAAATTGGAGCCAATTAAAATTTGAACCAATTAAAATTTGGTTGAACCAAATAAATGGGGTCTCATTAAAAATATGTTTATCTATAGGGGGTGTAGATGAAGTTTGTCCTCAAATATATCATGGACAATTTAGTAATATTGCATTTTAGTTAATATTTTTAATCTGATAGGAGTGTCAGTGAAGATTCAAAAAATATAAGGGGTGTCCTTGAAGATAAGGTAAATCATAGGGGGCGTGGTTGAAATTTTCCCAAATATTTATCAAATTCATAAGAAATGTGGGTGGCCAATGGGTTTGGGCCAATCCGACCCATCTATGAACGGCGCATGGTCAGGCGCAAGTCCAATAGCAAATCTAGCCCGCCTAATTAAAACAGAGCCCACAGCCTGATTGTTGCCCCAACAGGCTATCCTGTAACCTACGCGATAGAACCGAGCTTGGCACGTCACAATAATAATTGTTCATGGCCTTATCTCATGGATACAGAGAAAGGTCCGGGTTGCCACTAGACAGTCATGGCGTGTAGGCTATTGGTCTACTAGAGAAAAAATTGTAATCCTAATTGAATCCAAATAATACTCAAAGTTGAGATTCAATGACTAGGACTAATAATCGAGTTTGTGAGTTAAATTTGTCGAACTTATTTTTTTTAAATAAAATTAAAAAATTATTTAAATTCGACTCATTTAAAAAATAAGGTAAGCTTAAAATGAATTGAGTCTGAATAACTTAACTATTTTATATATAAATTAATTAAATTTTACAATTTATTTTTTATAAACAAGTCTAAAATAATATTTTAAATTAACTTTTCAATCAAATAAATGAGCAAATTTGGATGTGGGCCAAGCTAGGCTCGTGAAAAACACCAGCGGCTTGACGGGTCAACCTACGCGGTCTGACTTGTTCACCCCATTTCCTTCCGAAAAGGCACAAAGTCACACAACAAACCAATCAGAAAAAGCCCATTTGATCACGTTTCCGAATTCCAATGAACATTATTAAAACTCACCTCTTCTTCCACTCCAGCGTATAAGAGTGTCTCCCACTTGACTCAAATATAAATTTTAATTTTAATTTAAATCAAAATAATTTTAAAAAAATTTTGAACCTTAAACTCAAACTTATATTAAATGAAGATAAAATTCATTATCAATCCAAATTGAAGTAAACTCAAATATTATACCAAATTTTTAATAATAACTTTTTAATCTATTTAATATTAAAAGATTTTTTCGACGATTTGTTCTCTACTTCTTCTTACCTCTCTCTATTATGCTATTTGAAGCTTTATATAATTTTTTTTTTTAAGATTTTTTTTTTTAAAACTTGATTTTATATACTATATAAACCCTAAGCCTACACATCAAAATTTTTTTTGATTTTTTTCGAGTTAAACACTATTGGTAGCCCAATTTTAAATCAGCGATTATTCATGAAATTTTAAGCTTTACTATCCACAAATTTAGAAAATTCGTCATTTTATTTTTTCAATCTTCCATTTTTGTTAAAACCGTATATTTTTGAGTTCTTCAGATCAAGCCTATATCAAAATATTTATATTTTTTTTATTTGAATTATAAAAAATGATAAGAAATTAAAACAATCTTATAATTCTGGGTTAATTTTTTTTATCTCCATGTAATATTATAAACGTATTCGTTTTTTTTTTAATTACCTATTTGTGGAGATATTTTTATTTATTTTATTAAATATCATGATTTAAATGACACAAAAAAATGAGTTTTTAGTCAATAATTTTTTTAAAAAATTAAATAAATATTTGAATTTGCTCATATTTATGTACTCTATATGAAATCAATTTTTTTGTCAAATTTAAAATTAAATTTTAATTTAAATTGAAATAATGGTCGGAAAGGTCGATTTGATCACGTTTCCGAATCCCAATAAACTTTAAAACTCACCTCTTCTTCTACTCCAACATGTAAAAGCCTCTCTCTCTCTCTCTCTCTCCGCGCAAACACAGGTAATCTCAGCTCAGTAACCAAACCAAACCAAATCCTTTTCCATTTTCTCGAAATTGGAAATTTGTTTCATTTTCCCAGTTGTCATCCACAGTTGTTATATAGGCTATGGCCTTTGATCTGGAATCTATATCGGAGGCAACATCAGGAGCCATAGGAGCACTGGTGAGCACCACCATTTTGTACCCTTTAGACACCTGCAAAACCAAGTACCAAGCTGAAGTTCGTGCTCACAATCAGCAAAGATACAGGTATTAATTTTAATTTTTTTTGCCTTTCCTCTGTATTGGGTCTCACTTGTTCAGATTGCGTTTGACATATTTCTTCTATTTTCTTTGATCTGAATTGATTTGTTGACGATATGGGTGTAGGAATTCTTTTCTTTCTTTGTGATTAATACAACACTTGGGAATCCATGAAAACACACATATTGTGATATGAACTTTGATAGGCATGTGTTAATTTTTGAAATTAATACGACTGATTTAAGTCTTGAATCCGAAAAAAGCAGAGGTTGTTTAGGCCGTTTGGAGGGATCAGATTCTATAAAGTGGTTATTTTTGTTGCTGTTGGATACTTTACATTAGAATTGCGACTTAAGATGATTTGCTTGTGATCATGTCTCAAAAGCTTATATGCCTTTTTGACTACCAAGTACCAATGATCTATTGTGATTTTTTATCCAATCTCTCTGTAAATTACTAATAGGTAATGAGTTCTACCATTGAACCCTACTCGGATTTAGGAGTTATGTGGCATGCGAGAGTCCTAGGAATTTTATACTCAACAACCCAACTTAAATCTACTCATCAAGCCTTGATCTTATTACTCGAGATCGACTACATGGGTCTGTCTTCTTCACTACGTCTTTACAAGCCATATGTACAATTAAGGTCAATTCAACTCTTTTTCATATACGCCCTCAAGCCAACTTTTTTTGGGTCGTCCTCTAGTCTGTTTGGCAGCTTAAACTTGAATACTGTATTCTCGTGTAGTTGATGTACATTGCACTTGGAGATGTCATGTCATCCAGATAGCATCCTCTCATAAAATCATTCAATCATTCCGTGATTGCGTTAATATTTTTTTCTATTTTTCCTTCTATTGGCACTAATGTATCTCAACATGATATCAGCTGTGCTTGCTTTTTGAATGTTCTATTTCTTGATTGCATAGCCGCCTTCTAATTAAACCATGGCGAGTTTTGTCGACTGATTTTATTGAGTAGCTGATAAAACTAATCCTAACTGTTGACCCTATATCTAAAGTTTCCTTATGTGCTTTAAACACATGGTTTTGATAATGTTTATATGCAATTAATCAAATATGAAAAGTACGCGTACTTTTCTGTTATTTAACATTCATGGAAAGGGTGCATCCTTTCATTCAGTGATACTCAAACCTGACCTGCATTTACAATTTCAGCTGATCGTGATATACTGTGGGTTCCTTGCTTACATATCTCTGGTTGCACATGAACTTGAATCTTCTGTCTAATTTTGTCCCTAACTAAGGAGAATCCTATTTTGTCTCGTGTAGTTGATGTACATTGCACTTGGAGATTTATAAAAACTCAAAACTAAGGATTCTCCTTCATTGAATTGCTTCGTGGCAATTCTACTTCAAGTCAGGTTTTGCTCACATAAAAGCTTCTAAGTGTGCATGTACAGTTTTTATATGCACCTGTTTTGCAGTAACTGTCATGGCGGACAATCTACTTCTGTGTTAATTGATTGAATTATTCATTACCTTTCAGAGATGGGAGGGTATATTTGAGAAATAAAAATTATAGGAAATGAATTTCCTTTTAAATGCAAGAAGCTTTAGTTCAACTGTTTATATAGTTGCGTATGGTGTAGTTATTAACAACAATGAACATTTTGGTTGGCAAGGCTATTTTGAACAAGGTTTATTGGAATTGTAAGGCTTTTGGGCTGTTGCCTCTCATGAATCTTTGCAAAACAGACCATACAATGACTTTTGGTTTTTCCTCTGCTACCATGTCCATCAGTCGTGTAGCTGAACTAGGAACATTTATCTTGTTGAAGAAATCCATTTGATATGATGATGAAATTGAATTTTAACTTCTATCTTCTGCATTCAACTGCTTACTTTTTGACCTCCTACTGGATAGCCTATGATTAAGGCCCAATATCGATAACTTGTGCCCTATGTGAAGCAGATTGTGAAAACAAAACTCAGTTGTGAGAAAGATTATCTGATGTAAGTGCTCTGGTTGATGCAGGAACATTTCTGATGTCCTGTGGGAAGCAATTTCTACCCGTCAGGTTCTTTCATTGTACCAGGGTCTTGGGACAAAGAACCTGCAGTCCTTTATTTCTCAATTTGTTTACTTCTATGGATACAGCTTTTTTAAGAGGCTGTACTTGCAAAAAAGTGGATCCAAATCTATTGGAACAAAAGCCAACTTAATTGTTGCTGCTGCTGCTGGGGCGTGTACTGTCATAGTGACACAAGTGAGTCATATTGGCTTGTCATTAGCTACATATATTAGATGCTCAATTGAGTTTCTCAAACTATGTTGACTAAAAAGTGAAATATTGTCATTTACGAGATCATTACATATTCAGATATATGTGCATTGAACACTGCATAAAAAGGAATTTAATTTTGTTTGTCACACATATTGGAGTTACAGTTTTGCTCCTGAGTGGAGACAAAATTTCAGGAAAGGATCACAGAGACACTGTGACCATTTTATAAAGACATTTTTCAGTTTTCAATCAAACAAACTCTTGAAATTATGAAGATATCAACCAATCTCATGAACAATATGGACAACTCTGCAGACCATTTGAAACAAACGGGAAATTTTTTTTCCCCCTTTGATCTCCATGTGGTTGCTTCCTACTCTGTTACAGGTTCGAGTTGCACCTACATTTCTGGTTCTGCATTTCTAATCGAGTTTATTGTTCAGCCTCTTGATACAGCATCCTCAAGGATGCAAACAAGTGCATTTGGGAAATCCAAAAGTTTGTGGAAAACCCTCTCGGAGGGCACTTGGAGTGAAGCATTTGATGGTCTAGGAATATCTCTTCTTCTCACAGCAAATCCCTCTATCCAGGTACTTGATCATGCTTTCCTGGGGTTGGTTTGATGGATAACATATGTTAGACTTTTATGTGATACTTTTGGAATATGCCCCTAAAAGCAGATTTGCTGGAAAAAGATGATATATCGAACAATAACCAAAATTATAATGCTTTGCAGTATACAGTATTTGATCAGTTGAAAGATCGACTATTAAAGGGTCAGCTGGTCAATCAAAGACAGACAGAGTCATCTCCTCAAGCTCTTTCTGCCTTTTCTGCTTTTGTGTTGGGTGCACTCTCAAAGTGCATTGCCACCTGCTTAACATACCCTGCAATCAGGTAAATTGTCCGTTCACTCATTCTTCCTTATCAATTTACTTAATGTTGCTCGTGCATCGTTTCACGACTCTATATCAGGGACCTTAAGAATTTTTGAGGAAGTTATCCTCATTCATTTTCGTATAAGATTTGAATTCACAAGTTCACCTTCCATGTTGGAGTTTTCTGGGAATCCAATAAATGCTGGTCAACATAGAAAAACCCTTGTGTAAGAGTTTTTTTTACACATCTATGGGTGAAATTAAGATCAAATATGCTGCCAGGTGTAAAGTTATGATTCAGTCTGCTGAATCAGATGATGCTGTGAGAGACGAAGCTCAGCTAAAAGCACGAAAAACAGTGTCTGGTGCAATCTATTCCATTTGGAAGAGGGAAGGTCTGCTAGGATTCTTCAAAGGTTTACATGCCCAGATCCTGAAGACTGTGCTAAGCTCAGCATTGCTTTTGATGATAAAAGAAAAGATCACAAAGACCACCTGGGTACTCATGCTAGCACTTCAGAGGTATCTGTTCACAACCCGGACCAGATTAAAAAGCTCCTGAATTAGCCATGATAAACTGGATTTCTCTACATGAATCTATCATAAATAAAGAGGCTCCATTCGAAGCATCCATCACTGGAAGGTTCATTTAAAGTGCAATAAATGTTTAGGGGTAGATAGCAGAAATTCAATGTCTCCAGTAGGAAGGATTTAGTCAGTTTTCCTTTTTATGTTTTTCCAATTTATTCCCACTTTTGCTTCTCCTCAAAGTTGTCATGTTTTTTTGTTGTTTTGTTGTTGTTTGTTTGTTTTAACTTTTGGAGATCAGGTTGTCAAACTAGATCCTGAGTTGGAAAATAATAACACAATGTAAGCCTTGACTGCTGTTGTTGAAAATCTCAAGCTAGCTTCATTTACTAGTATTGAATCATTAGTATATCTTGGCGCATGACTGAAGTGAATGACAAAGACGGACTTATGTTGGTGATCCCAAATGATTGGGACATAAGGTTTAATTTGGTTAGTTGGAATCATTAGTATATCTGTCAAATTATTCTAAACTGTCTTTGAAACTAAGCCAGCCACTTCCCAGCAAAATCCGTAATTTGATCATGTGATCACTAGGAGTACAAAGTTCACGAAAACAAGTACAAAACTGTAAGTAATAAGAGCAATATGTGGTGGATTAGACCAAGCTTAAAAACCAAATTGGCTGATTTGTCGGCCATAAACCTCCCCCTCTGACTTGTTTGTAGTCAAGACAAAACAATCCAGTTATATAAAATTTGTAAAATTTATACAATCCAGCCATAAAGCTCCCCCTCTCACTAGTCGTAACTCATGCCTGAAGGAACGATAAAATATAAAATTTGAGTATCTAAAAAATTGATCTCATTATATTAAATTTTTTCAAAATATATTAACTATAAATTAATTAAATATTAAATGATTAAATATATGATAGAAATAAGTGGTGTGATAATTTTAAGAAAGAAATATATAAATGACTAAGTATGTGATAGAAATGAGTGATGTGATTTGACGTTTAATTTTGACAAAGAAATGATGGGGGATGAGGTAAGTGATTGGTGATGGTTTTGAGGAAAAAAAATATGACTGAGATAAAATTCAAACACACTTCTGTTTTATTATATAGATATATTACAGATTGATCATAATCGGATTCAATAGGTGTATCTAAATTCGAATCTGAAAATATATAACAACAGATTTGAATTCGAATTCAAATTATCATTAGAAATTATCAGTCTATATCTAGCTAATTGAATTCCGATTCAGGTGAGTGGATGAATAATCAATTGTGGGTTTGGTATGGAAAGTGGAGCGGATGAAAAGAAAAAATTTCATTGTTTGGTTACAAAGAAAAATAGGAGAGAAGAAAAATTGGAGGGGAAGTGTTTTTCTCTGACCCACCATTTTTTTTTGTTCCATTTTTGGGAGGAAAGTGATAGGAAAATTGACATCAAATTACATTTTTGAACAAATTAAATTTTTTGTCCTTAAATATATTTCTAAACATTATATCATAATTTCAAATAAAAACCTGCACATTTCTGAAGAAACACTTATAAATATCCTATTATATATATTTTTCCTATGTAAGTTTTTTGGCTATTATTTTTAGTATACATATCTATGTTTATTTGCTTATTTCTTTAAAATTTTATTTGTAATAAATTTGTTTATAAGGATATAATGATAAATTAAATACATTTATCTTTTATTTCCTTCTATTTTTTCTCTAATATCAAGCAATAGAAAATTAATGCTTCTAAGTTTCCATCTATACTACCAAATAAAAAGGAGGGAAAATGTTTTTCCTCTTAGGACAAAAAAGTCTATTACTCAATTTTTGGAAATGTTTTGAAGGAAGACCCAAAAACGACGCCGCCTTGGATTAAGCACTTTTTTGGGGGGTTAAGTTGGATTAAGCACTTTATTCTCTTCTCTCTCTTTTCTTTGACATGCATGATAAAGATCGAACCGTCAATTATTGTCGATTGATCTGAAATCCATGTGTTGGGTGCAGTTGAGGAACCTCAACATGGAAAAAAGGAACCCGAGGACGGTTGTGTCTGTTATACTAGGTGGTGGAGCTGACCCATCTTTTCCCTCTGACTATGCGGCGAGCCAAACTGGCCGTATGTCTTCTGCTTTCTTTCTTGGAGTAACCTTTCTCCCAGTAATTCCAGCTTCCTTCCCAAATTCTGAATACTTCTAGTTTGTCAGTGGTCTAAGATCTGCCTTGATTAAGGCTGATTGATATGCCAATGAGCAACTGTATCAACTGTGGGATCAATAAATCCTACATTCTAACTCAGTTCAACTCAGCATCACTCAAAGGAGGTGTCACATTTGGGGATGGCTATGATGAGGTATATTTGAGTTTCACTATTCTCTTTCCTGTATGCATACACTTCAACAAATAAGCGCTATGCCATGGCGAAAAATTTGTGACTTGTTAGAGATAAATTTTCAAATGGTTCAAGGGGTCATGATATGTCTGCTACATGTCCACGGTAAGAATCAATAGAGATAATAGCTAGAAATCTCACAATTGAACTTGATTGTAATTTGATTCTTCGTTTATCACTACATGATGGCCTACTAGTTGATTTGTTCCATTTCAGGTCCTAGCAGCCACTCAAACGCCATGTGAAGCAGGTAAAAAGTGGTTCCCAGGTACTGCAGATGCTGTATGACAGCTTACATTCACAACTAGAGATGAATGTAAACAGAAGCTGCTAATATCTCTGACAGAATTGTTTAATCATCCCAAGTTGTTTGTGCATGGTTTGGTTGAATAGAGTTGAGCACAAACCTCAAATAATCCCTTGGCCAAAAATGACACAAGCTGCTTGAGCATGACTGTAATTATGTAGGCATATACAGTCTCAAACTTACAGTATTCAATTGTATATTGACATATGCAGCAGTAATTCTGCTTAGCCCCTGCCGGCTGCAATTAAACTTTGTCCAATTTACAACACAGCTTGTTTCCAAATGTTAAAAAATGCTCTATTCAGGCTAGCTAAGTTTCAATATCCAATGATTCCTCCACATATCATTCCTACCTCCACATAATTCTTACCAGTAAATAGAAGCAGATTTCATTCGTGAATGCACATTACCTGTCGATTATGTATCAACCTCAGGGTGCAATATCAGCCACTGTTCTTTCCAGGTCCTGTATGATTAGGATAACAAAAAGGGTGAGACTGTCTTACCCCTCAAGTAATGTATGATGACCCAGAGTATACATATAGGATGCAAGAAGTAAGCACATTGAAGATGTACTTCTTCTATCGGGAGACCACTTGTATCGGATGAGCTATATGGACTTTCTTCACGTAGTACGATACACTACACTTGCTCCTTTCATTTTCAGACTTTTATTCATTCATTCAGAACTTTAGATCAGTAATTTTGATATTAGTAAAATTCCTTCACAGAATCACCGACCAAGTGGTGCAGATATTACTATATCTTCTTTGTCAATGGATGACAGGTAGGATACCCTGTTACCACCGCCACTCAGCTGTTCCATTAACTTTTACCCTGAAATAATCTATGGACTCAAACAAACCTAAAAAGCATGACTTGAGGATACTTAAATCATTTCTTCCTTACAAAATAAAAATTTCTTCATAAAGACGGTTTGAAGCCCACACATCACATTCAAAAAAATAAAATAGAATTTTTGGATTTTAAGCAGTTGTTGGAACGCCGGAACCTAAACACAAGAATAAGCATGCACAATTGATCTTCAGGAATAAGCAGGCCCAAAGGAGATGATTTGAAGGCAATGGTAATACTCAAGTCTTTGATATCCTCCCAAAGCTGAATGGCAATAAAACAGTTCAGCAACTGCTGGACTAATATTATTGGACACTTAGAGGCAGTAGATACCACAGTTTTGGGGCTGTCACAAAACCATATATTGCTTCCATGGGAGTCTATGTCTTCAAGAAGGAGGTACTTCTGAATCACTTAAAGGTACTGAACCATCTGAAATTTCTTTTACCTTCACTATCATCTCACTTGAAGGCAACCTTATCATATGGAAGAGGGCAAACTAAATATGTCATCCTCAACAAATCCCAATCCCCAACCCCAAAAAGGCAAAAAAAAAAAAGGAAAAAGAAGAGGAAAAAAACTGAAATTAATGAAGTAATATATTAACTTCTTTCTAGAAGCTAAGGGTACTTGTGTGGGAACTTTAAGTTACTCTCTAAGATCCAATTTGAATCAATGCTATGAATAATATGGAAGATGATGCTTTTCTATACTCACCGTATTCCAAAAGAGTGGCGAAGAATGTAAAAGATAGAAATTTTTTTAAATGAATTCCTTTCATCAATGAGTAGCATTAGAGAACAGAAGGAGCATGTAAAATTATTCTACCCTGTTTCTTTACTATAGTTCATTATGATATTGAAATGTATATAGAAAGCTGTGCTAAGCAAAGAGGAAATTTTTGTGTCGTGTATTTCTGTTAAATTAGATGGCATTTTCCTACTGCAAATGATTTTGGATCGGAGATAATCCCTGCATCAGCCAGAGAATTTTCCTGAACAGGGAAGGGAACATGCAAAACTAAATGTAAAATTGCTATCAGAATGAATTCAAGTATCCACCATTCTTCGTGAAGCTATGCTTGTTACGCTGTACATACTTCCATATTTTTTCTTTATTTTTGTTGCATTGCAATCATAATTGTTTTGCAACTTTCAAACAATATGCTTTTAAGCCTGACAGATTGGTTCTAATGTTTACCTTTTTCCTTTTCCCTTACGGCCACCAAGATAGAGTTTCTATGATGTAACAAAGTGATGTATACATCAAGAAGGAACTTACCACCTTTAAAGATAGATAACAGCAAGGTTTGTGAATATCAGTAACCGTGAGTAGTTACTGAAGTTTACTTCTGCCAGAAGCATGCTTCCAACATGCTCCAGTGATTTTATCTTCCATGGAAAGAGATGCATCATATGAAATCTACATGTGAGTTTTTTTTTCCCTGCTGCAGATTGTTGATTAAATCATATCACATGGTAGCTTCTTAACTAATTGCCTCATAGAGCACAGCGTAGTTGGTATCCAATCCCGGATAAACTCCAATGTTCACCTAAAGGTTTGTTTTTTTAATCCATTGATAAATGGACTTTGTGTAGTACACTAACTATTTTTAATTACGTATTCTGGATCAATAATAAATTCCTCATTGGTATTGAAATATGATCTTATCAATATCTATCAGAAATGTAATGAAAATAAGATCTTTTCAAGTTTGATAATAAGGTTCTCCATTGCATGTTCAAACTACTTTACTGTACTTTAGAGTCGGTAATACACTGATGATGGCAAAGTACACGCAGGGCACAATGATGCTAGGTGCTGACTACTATGAAACTGATGTTGAAATTGCATCATTATTAGCTGAGGGAAGAGTTCTGATTGGAGTAGGAGAAAATACAAGAATCAAGTACAAATCTATTCAATGTTCTCCCCTTTTATATCTTTCTATTGAAATGCTTTGCAGATTGTTATGGTCTTACATAGTATTATGCAGAGACTGCATCATTGACAAGAATGCCAGAATTGGAAAGAATGTATTATTGCGAACTCAGAGGTAAATTTAGTCATATGATTTATCCTTTTTTATGTTATTTTATTGTTTTTATTCATATGATTTATCATCAAAGGTTTTGGTCAGATAAGAGTGTGTTTATTGAGGGTTATCTTTCCAAACTTTCCACTCCTCGAAGGAAGATATGAAATCTAGCCTGAGCTACAATCATTAATACATAACTTTGACGCATTAGCTACTTATGATGTGCCTAATGAAGAGGAAAAAATAGGTTGGCAGGTTGGATTGTCATTTCGTAGTTAATAATATCTGAGATCCCAATTTGAGTCTTGAGAGATCCCCAATTGATCTGATGCTCGTGTTTTGCAATTGCGCGATTGCGCGCATCCGATATTAGGAAGCTGCAACGATTCTAAAGTGTGTTTTATTGAGGTGGTAAAAAAATATAGATGGAAAAATAGGCAGTTACAACCAAACGTCTAATGTGGCTGTATTTCTGCTCTGCTTGGTTCTCTTTGCTCAAAAGATGTAAAATCAAACCCCTAATTGTAACATTGTCTACACCTCACCAACTTTCAGTCCTTGGATTTTAGCTTCATTGGCAACATTTTTTTTTCTGATCAGGGGATCTCCAATTTTTAATTGAGATTAAGCTTCAAGCTTATGTGGGACCTTCATGCATGGATTTGCAGGGTTTACAAGAGGCTGACAGATCTTCAGAAGGGTTTTTATCAGGCCTTACAATCATGTTGAAAAACTCAACAATCAAAGGTGGTTCTGTGATATGACTAGTATCCAAAAAATTTTGGTCCTGTTTGGCAAATTAAGGCTGGGATCATGAAAATTACTGAGATTTGAGAACATTCACAAATAGCAGAGAGGATGCAACAAGTTTGAATTGATACAAGTTATATTCATTGTTTAAATGCATATTCTTTCTGATATTTTGTGTTAATGTACTGTATCAAAGTTACAGATGCTGTTCTATTTCTTCCAAACGTGGGAGGAAATCAGAGCTTCAAGCCCAATTTAATCAGATAGTTAATAGCACCAACCCACCATCACGGCCAATGCCAGCTTGGTAGTGTGTGTGATGTACAGCAGAAAAGTTTCTTCAAGCCACAACCAGACATGTTACCCTATAGGAGGGAATGAAATACACAGTCGTATTGATTCAACATGAAAAAAATGTTAAGTACCTGGGTTGTTTAATTTTGAATTGGAACCAAAAGGAAAGAAATTATACAGGTATTCAATTTAAACAATAAACCAAGGAGTATGTTATTGATTCGTTCGACCAAAAAAAAGATACCTCATTGTCTGCAAGACCACAAAGAGAAAATGCTGCATAATGTTGCACAGAGCCTTCTTTTGAATCAAGTAGTTCCAATGATGGAACCAACCCACTATTGTGCATAATGCAGAGCAAATAAGAACTATCATAACTAAGGTGTAGACCATTTGAGCGCCAATATAAGAGTACTTAAGACAGAAGAAAAGCAGGGCAACCTTGCTACATTAATTAGTAATCACTGCATAAGAATGTCCTACACCTAGAGCCTACTCTATCATTTCAATTCTTCCTTGCCCAAAAAAACAAAAAAAAAAGAAGCTATTTTGCAAAAATAATTAAATGACCAAGAAGATTTTCCCCAATTCTTGAGTTTAGAAGGTTTTCACCTTCTTCAGTATATAAGCTATTACTTCTATTATCTGAAGGACCATGCCGATTGTTTGAAAAAGATAACATATAGTTCACAACCATCCGACAGTAATGACCAAACAGAAAGAGAGCAGTTCTGCACAAACTCATTCTCCATAAACTGTGATCCAAACAACATAACACTAACCTGTGCCAATCTCACCCAACAAAATAGTAGGTGAATATTACATACTCTCTCTCTCTCTACCAGCCCTTGAAACCACAAAACCAAGTGGTTGAAATTTGAGGTCCACAGCCACCAAGCTAGAAGGAAGACCGGTAGTGAATATTACATACATAAACAGGTTAATGATCATAAAAAAAAATTAAAAAATAGTAAAATAATTTTTTTTGAACTTGATAAAATAATTTAATAACAATGTAATAAGGAATTATGAATGTATACTAACAGTCAATCATGTAATACCATAATTTTAATGAAGAACATAAAAAACAAGTTAATAAAAAGAACATGAAAATAGTAATGAATCTATAAATTGCATTCCGAAAAGTGTGGGTCAAACAAGAGATGAGAGAGATAAACAGATGCACAAATTTGTTTTTTTTAAAATGTATACTTAGTCATGATGATTTATGTATATTTATAATTCCTATGGACTATAGTATTAAACAGTTACATGGACAAAGCATGGATATGAAATAACATATATGGTTTAATATGTATTAGATACATAAATTACTAAAAAATAAATATTATGTGATATCACATTGTAATATTGAATATCTTTATTATGATAGTTCCTTATAATGGTCAATGAAAAAATGCATAAAATATAAAATAACATATATAGTATTTTTAATCCTCGCGCATCATCTAGAAATCAATTTGGTTCCACGGACGAAGACTCGACAGTAAGTGACAAGCAAAGATTATAATTATTGCGAGATGCACAAATACTTAAATTTTTTAAATAGGAATAGGTACACTAGGGCCGACCATTACAATAGTGGCCTAGAGCCTCAAAAATTTAGAGATCCAATTTAATTTTCAGCCTTTTGTTTAGGTTCATATTTTGAGGCTCTTTTGAATGGACCAAATTAAAGATAAAATATATTTCACAAGTCTATTTAAAATCTTATAAAAAAAACTCTAAAATATAACAATATTTTCACAACTCTATATAATTCTTTATAGAACGTCTTCTAAAAAAATCTAAAAATAACGACTTCTGATTTTAAAAGTAGTAATCTCCCTTAAATTATTTTTTCCTCCACTCTCACCGCCTCCCGCCAATTTTTTTTTTCTCTCTCTCTCACTCTCATTATATTAGTTTTTTGTCCTTATCCCAAAACCACTAAATTTTGAAAATAAATTATATTATAAATCTCTATAAAATATTTTTCGCTTCAGCCCTCAAATTGTTGTGTTTTGTTGGGCCGCTGTTGATCTCACTAGAGTAAAGGGCAGACATTTCTCAAGCTGTAAATATGGTGGTTGAAGCATCTCAATCAAAGGCCAGACAGTGCCACTGAACCATATAAATCTGAATCTCAATTCTCAGAAAATGAAAAAAAGAAAAAGAAAAGGGAATTGAAACCTACGAGATACCACCAACGAATCACTATCTCCGCCTCCTCCTCTTGCCCTAACAGTTCCGAATCACAAAACACGCAAATAGATAGACCAGCATAATCAAAGTTGAATATATAAAAGTAATTATATATAAATATATTATATGTAAAAATATGTGTACAAAGACACACACACACACACACATATATATATTACATTGTACCACGTGACATTTAACCCTTCAATACAATGGGGTAGGTGCCTCCTGCTTTCTCGGTTTCAGGCCCACCTCCCAGACAACTTCACTATAATGAACATACCGCACTTTGATCAGCTAAACTTTGATTTCTGGAATTCTGTAAGCCTTCATATCTACCATTACTATCATTACCCGCCGCCATTGCCTCAAAATCCATCTCCACAAATGGAAATCACATACCCACAACATCTCCTCTCTTCCCTTGGCAGGGACAACCCCACAATTGGCTTCACCACCAACGCCTCTCTTACTGGATTGAACTGACACCTAAATCACCCAAGCCAAATATTCACTCAGTAGGCTCTGTACCTTTTCCACTAAATAAGTGTTTCCCGATGTTACAATGAAATTCAAATGGCCAATCGAGGCCATTGCCAAGGTTAAACTAGAGGATGAATAAATTGGGAGGATTTCCAGCCACCTGTTAGTTCGAGGTAACAAATTACTTGTATTTACGGTTGTATTGGAATTGATGCAGTATTATGGACTCTTCATAAATTTCTAAATGCATGCATGGATATGAACATTATGAGTTAGGTTTGAAAAAATAAATTTTACTGCATGGAAAGAAATTTAGTAAAAGGAATTGTCATGCAAACTAGAGCCTAATGCTTCGATATTCAAAGAGATTCACAGCTAGAAGATCACAATGTCCAACCAATGTAGAACTCATCTATTCAAAGCTCATATCACAATACTTTCACAGAACACCACTCATGCTTCTACTATAGGATTGAGGTTCAAAAAATCATTGACAGATTTGTCTTAGACCCTCTGCAAGTCATAGTCAAATCCTTCGCTTCGAAAACCTTTACTAAAATATTGAATATATTTAACTAAGGCTTTAATTCAATACTATATAACAACTATAGGGTGTGTTTGTTTGAGATATAATAGTGATATAAAGGGTGGGATTGGGAGAAATAGTACGTGGGGAGCATTAATACTTTGTTTGTTAACCATTTTTAGTAAGATACTAATTTCCGGATTTCTAATACAACCCGGTATGAACAATGACACTAAACCCATTTATATGGGTATATCTAATACCACCTAAGATGTGATATTAAAATGAGGTAGAAAATTAACAATGGTACTAGATTAGTAAATTATAGTATTGACCCTTCTAATGCCTATGTTCAAATTCAAAACAAGGGCATGAAAGACAATTTAAATTAAATAAATTCCTTACTTTTGTCGTGGGGACCATAAGAGAAGTAAATTACAATATTAGCATTTCAAGTGTCTATTAATCTTAACCAAACAAATGATATTTAAGTCAATTATCAAATGTAATTATTTTTTTTATGTGGGACCTACATACATTGCAAAAGTCACAAGCCAAACATGATAGTATAAAATAAAAAAGGACATTAAATCATGTCTTTCACACCCATGATGTTGGAGAGGATGATAAATAAACCCCTAATCCCATCCATCATTCTCTTTGAAACAAACACACCGGCAAATCAAAATGTTGGATATTGATATTTAGTTGTATATCAAACACCATAAAACTAATAAATTGAACTGACTTCAACTAGTCTTGTACAACACACACTAATACAACAAAACACACACACACACCCCAATACACAGAAACACACACACTAATATTAACACACAAAAAACATAAACACATTTAATAAAAAAAATCAAAATACACATACACTATTCCCCAAAAACACACATACATACTGGGTCAGGTCAGCCCATGGGTCATGGTTTGGTCCACATGTCAGCCTGTTGGTCATGGGTCGAGGTCCGTTCAACTCGTGGGGTCATGGGTCGGATCATGGGTCATGGCGTATGTATTAGTATGCTTGTTTTGGAGGGGGGATTGTGTGTTTTTGGTGTACTAATGTGTGTGTATTTTTGGTGTATTAGTATATTTATTTGGCTAGTTGTTGCCCACGGGCGTTGTACGTATACCATTTTGCGTATAAAATGTTATATATTAAAGTTATCGATCACTTTTCTTCTTACAAAATCCACAACTTTAATAAACTTTAGTAGTTAAATGTCCAAGATTCATATTCTATTAGAACGACCCTCCCCTTCAATAGATTTGTGTGTGCGGGTTTTGATTTCTCGATTTGTGTGTGTGTGTGGGGGGGGGGATTTTGATTTTTGGGTCTGTGTGTGTATGTGCGTGCACGTTTTTTTGTGTGCGGGTGTTTAATTTTTTAAATTTTTAAATTTTTTATTTTTTGTGTGGGTGTTTCTGATTTTTGTGTGTTGGTGTCTAATTTGTGGGTCTGTGTGTGTGTCTAATTTGTGGGTCTTGGTTGAGGATATTGGGTCTGAGTAAACAAAAATCACATTTTGTACACATTGTGTGTGTGGTGATTCCATGGGTGTTGTGTCTGTCTTGTGTGCGTGAGTCCATGTGTTGTGTGCGTGAGTCTTTGTTGTGTGTGTGTTGATTCTGTGTGTAAATTTTGCTAATATTTAGGATAAAATTTGAAGTGTTTATCATGTATTTTATTATTATTTTCATAATTTAGTAAACACAAGTGACTTCTAAATACATTTTCTGTTTTCAATATTTATTACAAAATAAAACAAAAATTATCTCTATTTTTTAATTTTTTGAAAACAAAAAATAAAAATATTACCAAATGCACCTTAAGTTTTCATTCTTACACTTTTGGACTTTGAAGTGCTAAGGAGAACGATCATGCCACTGTTATAAGATTGAAACAAAGCACGATGTATTTGCACAAATACTTTATTTATTGTTTATTTAGTTGGTATCCTTTATGGTTTTCTTTTAGGATGTGATACACGATTAATTAAATAATAAAGTTTGATGATGGACAAAATAGACTTATGCACAATCAACAGTCAAGTGAATGATGTAGGAGAGTTAATAAAGCAGTTAATAAAACAATCATTGGTAAAAAGGTAAATATTCAATCAATACACAGATATATAGTGATTCGGTCAAGGTGACTTATTTCACTTCAAAAACGACAACAATAACCGGAGAATCTTTATTAATAAAGTAAGGTGAGAGAGAGCAAATGTGAGCTCTGTGAAAGATATGGTAGCTAAGAGAGAGAAATAGTTACGTGAAGAGTGTGTAGAGGGATGTCTCTTTCATGTGGAGAGAGCTTACAATTTATAGACACAAAATTTTTAATTTTTTTTTTATACATTGGAAAATAAAAGTCATAAACTGAATAGAGTGCCTAGAGTAAAACACACTGGCCACATCAGCCATAAGAACGTTAGCCATCTGGGGGGGAAGGATCCTAAAGCTCAACAAAAGCATTCGTCTGTTGGACCCCAAGATTGGCCAAAAAATCAGCATATTGGTTTCCTTCTCTGAAAGTACGGATGATGGGGATATGGTTATATCTCATCACATCTTTGCAGCTCTTGATGATAACTTTGCTAGGGTGGACCTCATCAAGATCAGACGACAACAACTTAATTGCCTCCAACAAGTCAGTTTCCACATCCACCTGGGTGATTTGAAGTCTTAGCAGAAGTTCCAGCCCCTTTAAAAATCGCCCAAAGTTCTGCTTGAATACTTGTTGTGTCATTCATTCTCCCATAAAAGCCTGTAATCCACTTGTCTTGGTCGGTTCTGATAATTCCTCCAACTCCTGCAAGTCCAAGATTACGTTTGGAGCATCTATCAGTGTTGAGCGTATTCCATCCTACAAAAGTGAAAGACCATCTGATCAAATTAGATAAGGCATTATTCTTAGCAAAGTGAACATCACAAAGCCTTTAGTTAAGACAGTGACATGAAGGTAAAAACACTAGTCATTCGGGGAGGATAGCTACAAAATGTAAATATAATTAAAAATTATTTTAATCTTCGAGAGTGACTATTCCGATGATTGCTCCACACGTGCTCTAATCTTCTTGAAATATTTGGACCTTGGGCTTGATTGACTCCACGAGCTAGGCTTGACCCATTTTATAGTTGATTTGAGCTTAATCGATTGATTGGGCCTGACCTAATCGACTTTGGGCTCATCAAGGTTTACTAAGGATGGAAATTTTAAACTGATTGATTCGTGACTTCATATACATATAAGTGGTAGGTTTACAATGTAAATGGATAAATGGGTCACATCTTGCGTTAACTCCACTTATCTTGGATGACTAGTAGAAATTAGACGCAGTCCCTCTATTTCACAAAAGCATAAAATTCTCCATATGCAAATTACTCACTGCCTATGAGGAAATACGAAAGCAGAAAATAGTACAAATATCAAAGACTACCATCAACATCATCAACCTTTGACTATGATCCCGCCTGTTGAAACAAAGAAGAGCATCAATCAATGAACAAGTGCACAAATCAATCACATTCACACCACAAGGTCATTGAACATGTAGTACCATTGGGGTGGAGAACTCGGCCAGTGTAGTAGGAAGGCTCCTGGGATGCCAGGAACACATAAGATGGTGCAATTTCATAAGGCTCTGCAGCCCTGCCCATCGGTGTCTCCAACCCTTAGTTTGCAGCCATGTCCTCGGGCATGGATGTCGGCTGTAGTCGAGCTCGGACGGATCCAGGGGCAACGCCATTGACGCGAATTCCTTTATCCAACAGCTGAAGTGCTAGACTCCTGGTGAAAGCCACAATTGCTCCCTTGGTTGAGATGTAGTCCAGCAACACTGGACTGCCGACGTAGGCGGAAACCGAGGTTGCTTTAATGATGGCACTTCCTTCTTTCATGTGCCTCAGAGCATTCCTGCACCCAAATGCAACTGATCACCAAGCTGGCCAAAATGTTTTTGTACCAAGTGAGATATCCTCTACTACACTGTCTCGATGTCTCTCGAGTTTCTTGCTCGGTGAGCGTGGAGGCTTTCATCGAAACGGGAGAGAGAGAGAGAGAGAGAGAGGCCCGGGTGGTTTTTTTTTTTTTTTTTTTGTGTTTTAGTCAAGGGAAAGGGTTGCTTGAGTATGAATAGATTAACTTAAAGGTATTAGTGGAACTACCATTTCTATAGAACAAATTAGGGGTGTTCTAATTTTTGATTGTCCGTAATTTCCTATTTTACTCGATCCTATCTTATTCTATTGAACGGTTATTCACAAAAATCGGGTAAAAATACGAAAGAGTTTTTAATTTTCTGATTAAATCGGATAAGAATATGGAATATCTATCAATTTTTGTGCATTCCTATCTTATTATACTAATAAAAAATATATTAAACTTTTTTATATTTTTTTTAGTAATTATAAGAGTATTTGTGTGATATAATTTATATTATAAACTTTGTGGATGTTTGAGTTGAGAAAACATGAACTTGTTTTTTGTGTAGCTTACATGATTTGTGGTGAACTGGTGATCTATTGAAACAATTATAATTTTAATGTGTTTCATATGGTTTAAATTTAAAATAATTGTTATTGTATTTGTGTAACAATTATGATAAATTGATGTTCATATTTTTTTATGTTTTATTGTATTTGTTGTTGTAGTTGTTTTAAGTTTTAGTGTTATTGATTTATTGTATTGTTAAATTTGTGCATGTTATTTAATTGAATAGTTAAAATGATCCAAAAATTAATAGTTACAAAAGTGTTTACACGACTTCCTACTCGATTAATCGAGTAGAAACACACACCTGATCGTGTAGGGTAAGTCAAAATTTTTTTTTTTTGCAAAGTATCGAATAGGAAGACGAAAAACTATATTTCATACCCGTAGGGTAAAGTGAACACCTCTAGAACAAATGGGAACCTAGTGTAAAGCCTTCTCTCTTAGTGAAAAAAGAGACTAGGCCCTAGTTTAGTTTGCGTCTCAAAAAATAGTATTTAAAAATTAATTTTAAGAAGAGTTTTAGAAAATTATTTTTAATGTTTTTTGTGTCGCATAACTTGTTTAGTTATATGATTCTAAAAACAGTTTTAAAAAATAAAAAATAATAAAACTTATTTGGACAGTAAACCAAAAAATAATAAAAATAAAAATGTGGTGGTGGACATCGTGGTGGTGGTTGGTGGTGGGTGATGGTAGTGATGGTGGAAGGGGGGAGGTAGTGGTGGTGGAAGTGTGGTAATGATGTGGTGGATGTTGTGGTGTTTTCTAAATTCTGAAAATATTGTTTTTAAAAATACAGAAAACTATTCTAATTTTTTTTGTAAATTTACCAATTTTTTGTTTTTAATTTTCAAAAAATAAAAACAAAAAAAGTTTGTTCTCAAAATTATTTTCGAAAACAGAAAACAGCTTGTGAGATCTAAAATAAACACGATCTTAAATTTTTATGCCAAACATCTCCCTATTACACGCACAAACAAATAAAAAACTTCTGCACCCCTTTTAGTAGTAAGATATAAAAAACTAAGGTCTTTATCTTATTTACAAAGGACGCTCCATCCCTGTAACCTCAACATGCCATGGTAGATACTTTAGTCACATCTTACCCCATGGTCAAATTGGATCCCTTCTCAAAAACGATATACAAATCAGGCTCACTACTTGTAAGTGGACTCTATATCAGTATATGGCGGTGACCTATTAGTGAGCGCCGGCCTAATAGTGAGAAAAATTACGACAAAGTATACTAGAGTAGATTTGAATTTGTTAAGAGTACCATAAGATTAATACCAATCACTCACTAGTTTCTCTTACCTAGTCATGAAGAAGAGAGAGAGAGAGAGATGTTTGTCCTAAACACACTCTCAAGCTGAAGCTCAGTGATCTCTTCAATGGAGTTAGTCAGGTGCTGCTCAGCTGCATTGTTCACCAAAATATCTATCCCGCCATATATAAAGACGACCTTATCAACGAGAAATTTGCAGTTTTCGTCCGATCCGACGTTGCTAGCAGTGGTGACGGGGTCTTTCGCATCGTCCGGTAGAAATAAATTTGGAGGGAAGTTCCAAATATTTCAAATTAATGAGTTTTAATTAGATTTTAAATAAAATAATATTTAAAGTCAAAAGATAGACACTTGGACTTGAACTTATTAACGGTTAATTATTTTTGTATTAATTAATGTCTTTTGGCCCAAGAGTTGTATCTCCTCTTTATATCTCTTTGGTCTAAGAGTTGTGTCTCCTTTTTACATCTCTAAGGTATTATAAACACTTGTACAGATCCATTAATACAGATATACAAAAAACGTTTCTCTATTATATTTTCAGAAGAATTTTAGAGTTTGCTATCTAAAATTATGTTTGACTTTATTAATCTTAGAGGAATTTCCATAAACCTAACAACAATATAGCAGGGGCATAATTTCTTTGAGGAGAGTGAATACACGATGATGAAAGCCTTATAATTTGTTGAAGTTATTTTGCTAACATCGTCTACCTTCGCCTCTAGAAGCATCAGCAAGGTATCATTGGCATCCTTCAGCTCTTCATCTTTCATATATGTGATGTGAAGGCTACACTTGCACCTTCTCTGGCAAAGCAACAGCACACAGCCCTACCTATACCAGAGTCTCCTCCACTCACTACTGCCAGCTTCCCCTGAAATGCTTCCAAAATGATTACCCGTAACGACAAAAAATAAAACCAAATGATAAGACGGAAATGATAACTTTTGATAATGAGAAGTTATATTTAATGGTGCTGGGTGACGAATTATTCTTTCAGACTAATAATTATTACTCAAACATAGCATTTTACTGTGATTCATATAATCACAAGATTTATTATTTACCGATTATCCCTCTCCCTTTCCAACCAGCAAAAAAAAAAAAAATCAATATCTATCAGGTAGCTAGCATTAAAAGCAAGCTTACATGGAGTCTGTTGGCAGGCTTGTAGTGAGGGTTTATGGTTTGTGGGATAGGGTTCATGACATGCTCTTTTCCTGGCTGTTTCTCTTGCGACTATCGTGAGAATTTCTGGCCATTCTTTGCCATCACCTATGTTTTTCACAAGAGGTGTGTGTATAGGTATCGGAATAAAAGAAAAGATGGGCATTAATTACTCTTGTCACCACTGAAGGTTATGGGAAACAGAAGATAACTAAACATAGGTGTAGAGTCCAAATGGATGAGCTTTGAGTCAGTAGACATACCACGTGTGGACTGCATAGTCTACGTGTCACTCAGAGTTTCCCATCCATGTGACAAGTCTTTTTTCCAACAAGTTTTTAAGTGTGTATAGCATGGAGTGTCCATAATATTTTCCTGTTGTATAATCTCAAGAACCATCATCTATCACTTCGTCAGCTTTTTTTTAAAAAAAAAAAAAAACTAATTTGTGTATCCATGTACTAGTGTTGTGATAATTTTTCCTCGAGTCTTCGCGCCATTTAATATTGTCATGTGATACGCTTAATTCACAAAATATTTTACTCTTTTTTTTCCCTTCCAATTAGGTGTCATACTTGTTTTTGAATAAGATAATTCATTTTACCTTCTCATGGTATGTCCGAAATGGTAGATTGATTTCGAAGCGGAATGTATCTTAAAAAAAATTAAATTTTCGATTGTTCGAATTCGAATAAGGACGCTGACATTAAAAATCGTTAAATATTCAGATGGAATTTAAATACTTGGCTTTTGTCCAGCCTGCCCACGTCCATATCCATGTAGAGTTCCTCACGTATCTCTCTATCTTTAAGGTGATTTGAACATGTTGATGTGAACATAAAGGGTATTGAAGGATGGAATGGAACATATCATCAAGGCTTCAAAGACTGCATTAGATCCTTTATGTTCGATCTGAGTAGGGTCTACTTGTGGCTTTTTAGTGGTCCTCATATGTCAGGAAGCAAGTGGGTTTTTGCTAGGCAGTCCACAAACTTTTTTCTGGTATCTACGGAAAATTTCGATTCAATCAGACTAAGTTATATGTCAAACTAGTCAAGTAATTGTTCAAATAAGATTTTTTTTTTTTTGGGGGAGAAAGAGAAAAGAGGCATGAACCCTTGATCTTAAGAAAACAAGACCTTCACAAGATAAAGAGTACTATTTGATCAAAAATCCGTTAATTCAAAGATTGTCAGAGTCCAATCTCATTATTTTGAGATCAATATGGAAACTCTTGGGCAGTAGAACATTGACAAATCTACAATGTTATTTATTAAGTCTGCTTTACAGATTAAAAGAAGATCGATCCAATTGAAACATAATTTTTTATATTTTTGGGACTTGTCCTTTTATTTTTGAAAAATCTTAAAGAAAATATTCCATCATCGAACTTTCTGCCTCCTTTTTTTTTTTTGCTCTTAAAAAAAGGGTGAAAAAAAAAAAGAACGTTCAAAGACCACCTCGATAGACTTTCATTTGAGGGATCACGAGACTCTGAACTGCGTCTGTTCCTTCTCTCATGAACGAACTTAACTAAGCTAACATGCTAACATAACAATCAGCCAGCGAGTTCTAGTGTACATTTCAAGATTCAAACCTCCAATTTTAGGGTAAGAAGTTCAGTCAATACTCCATTAGACCACCCCATTCGGTGATATATTACAATGATATCTTGTATGAAAAGCCTGCCAAAATAAACTCTTATACTCTCATCCTTGCCTCCAATAAACTTGGAGTAAAAAACGAGAAAAAAAAAGAAAATTAAATAAATTGCGTTCCGATACAAAATGTTGACCAAATTGAACTGGGGATTATATTCAAACTGCATATGCCTCCTGTTAAAATCATTTTTTTCCGATTGAAAATGGATAAACAAGAAGATTCAAACACATGATAGGAGGGAAGAAAAATAAACTAAAAATCTCCCAAAAAAAAACTAAGTATAGCTTTAAATGGACATGAAAGGCTTATCCAAGCTTTTACAAACAATCAGACAAATCTATTACATGAGATACACAAACCTTATTCAGTGAAACCACTTCCAAACCTATCTCTAAGCAGCTTTTCCATGTACATGATCACCACATATATATCAGTGAAATCCTTGTCTGGACTAGTGGACAAAGATATTAGAAGAATTCACTGAAATATACAACACTTTAACAGCTTTTAGGGTTTAAAGAACTAGCAGATGGGGTAGGGTTATTATTGCAAGGTGTGTGAGGAAGCCCTCTTGAACTATTAGAGTGTCTGTGGAACTTTGTGTTGGATGAAGCGAATCTTCCTCGTCTGTTCTTCCTTCTCGGATGGGACGAACAGGGGATAAAAACCCCAGTTCCTTTGCTTTCTCTTCGGTATATTTGTTCATACAAAAATGATGGTTGTTTGGTTGGATGGATTGCTTCAGAGAAGGCCTAGTTATTTCAAAAAAAAAAATAAGTGATTATAATTTAATATGAAAAGTGAAATGTAATAAAACAAGGACTGCAAGTGTGTTCTGTGTCTGTGTGTGTGTGTGAGTGAGTGAGAGAGAGAGAACATAGTTCCTTTATGTAATACACTGAGAGAAGGTGATGATGAGAAGGCCAAAACATGAAAATGTAAAAGAAAAACGAACATGAGACTGAGTTTGTGTGTGTGTGTGTGTGTGAGAGAGAGAGAGAGAGAGAGAGTTTCTTATGTAATTGACTGTAACAGAGAAAGTGACAGAGAACCTGCAGGGTAACTGAAGGACAATGAACAACCGAGTCTTCATCGTCATCCATGAGTAGAAGAGAAATTCGCTCGCTTAAGTCTGCAAAAAACACATCCTCCTCTATTTCCTTGGACTCCTCCATATATATATGCCCTCAAACAAGTTTGAAGAACTTATGACTGACTTGCACAACCAAAAAAATGGAGAACTTCAATTCATTCTCCTTCTGAATCTTGCTGGTTTTTTTTTTTTTTTTTTCCTTTTCTCATTGACTGGGATAAATGGGGTTTTAAATAAGGAAAGACAAGGGATGGGTTGAGTCAAGTCAAACCAGTTGGCCATGTGGAGTGGTAGGGCCATAAAGATCAGTTGGGCAATCTGTCCACAGCCTCCATAAAGGATCATGAAGTGTTTCATGATATTATCCAGTTGGGAAGGAGATGAGGAGCAGCAAAGCAACGGCCACACCCAGAATATCATGCAGGATAGATTTCATATTTTCAAGATAGACTTCATCTCCAGCACATACTTGGTTGTGAATGTGTGAGCTCTCTCTCTCTCTCATACACACCCCCACACATCCCCACCCCACAGTCACTCAATAGAATAAGTTGTGGTTCACACTTCACCCTACGCTGACACATAGGTGCCAGACTTGCAGAGGTGACATTAGTATTTGTGGCCTAAGCTTCTTTATCTGTATTTTGATTGAGAAGTGGTTGATAGTGCCTATCTGACAAATATAGGTTGGTCAGCAGTAAGTGGCAAAAAGCCTTTCATGGATATGTCATTCATAGTCACCAAACTCGTCATCTAAAATTTAGTTTACCATATATGATGCAATATGAATATTTATATATTTGAACATACCTCCTAGGTCAGATTTTCATCCAAGCATATGTAAGTATCATGTAATCATCAGGATAACAAAGAGATTCATAACGGAAAATTACCCCATTCTGAAACCATGTTAAACATCAAATCAACCAAAAGTTTAAGTTTTTAAAGATGACATAACATAAATATCGCATATACTTCGAGACTAGTCCTGCGTTCAAGTCATCGCAAGCTCAAATGCTGAGATCTAATACTATTAGGGCTTTCCCTTTGCAATACAATATATGATTCTCCTTAATTTTTCCAAGACAAATTGTGAACAAATAATGATCATCCTATTATGCAGCAACACAAAAAAAATGACAAACAATATCTGAGAGAAATTAATTTTTAAGAAGAGAAAGGAAGGATCTCTCAGAATCCCTCCATTCCACTTGACTAGCAGAAAAAGTCTTTCTTGGAGACCTTGCAGTGGGGTAGACAATCATAAATATTAGAATTAGATATGATGTTTTGGTTTTGCTTTCTCATGAGTTTTTAAGGATCCAAATCCCTTCTAATACACTTTCATCCTATTTTCCTTACTGAGAGATCACCCATTGTGTATTGGTGGTTGACCTACTCATGTATAGATGAGCCCAATTGAATTCAGGATAATTGATCCACTATGCGAGAAAATTAAAGAAAAATATAATTATCATAGATCTCACTCCAATTTAGGTTGGGGGAAGTATTCAATGAAGATGGGGTAGTGTTGACTTGTTCTTGAGAGCTCATAGCTCAGCTGCATGTACTTAGCTTCTCTCTGTAAAGCAACTACTGTATCATGGGTGTCCTTTATGGTCCATATTCCTCCTAGTTTGCTGGCTGGCTAAGAATTAAGGACCAGAGAACCACCCATTTGCTGAACATCATTGTGCTTGGATATCCAATGTCATCTCTCTCTCTCCAAATATCTAATGACACAATAATTCAGGCATGACCCTTAAAACCTTCAGTTCCAACATCTACCATAGTTTTGATTGTTTATTCTCGAGGGTTATTGCAGAGTCATAATCTAATTTAACCATACCAAATGAAACAAACTACATATGCTTGGCCATACTAACAGGAAATCTAGTCGTGCTAATGTGGGCACATATTTTTTGATTAATCACTTGACTGACTCATTATGCAATAGGACATAAAAGTAAATCATACATGATGCCCAAAGCTTACAAAATACCAGGACAGAAGAAAAATTAAACCCAGATCTAGAACCAGATGAAACTCCAAAATGAAAGTAGTAGTAGGGAATTCGCCTACATTAGCAACCGATAAATACATGAATAAGCCGCATAATACTACATAGTTCAATCAACATGTACCACAGAAAGGCAAGAACATCAATTTCAACAAAAAACAACTGAAGGATCAATATAAAAAGAGAATCAAGCACATAAAACACACACCACAATAACAGAGCATTCAATTAACAAGTGAACTTTGTTCAAAAAAAATAAATCAAAGAGTGAACCAATTCAAGGTTTATTGACAGCAATTCAGAAGAAGAGTAGAAAATACACGCCTAGAAAGACATCAGCCACAGAATTATTATGTAGCTTCGGGCCTCAATTGAACCAAGGCCAAGGACTCTGATATTGAATTCATTGTAAAATTCTAGCTCTTTGTCCTCGATGCGACAAAAACAGAGTCATGTTTGTATGTGCACACACACAAACACCTGAACAGAAACTGAAGATTGAGATTGGAGGCTTCGATTCCGTCCATTTCAATGACTTCGGGGTTGCAATTTACAGCCCAATCCACCCGCAACCACCAACAACACTTTGGCATACTCTTTAACATCATCTTATCGCCTATCAACTACAATACACCGAAGAAAGTGTGAAAGTAGATTAACCATTTTTAAAAATGTCACAGAGAGAGAGAGAGAGAGTTTTGGAGTTACTTCGGGGCCAATTCGAAGTTCGGTCAGACCAGATGGCCGGGCCGGAGAAGGAGCTTGTCGAGGCCTCTTGATCTGCAGGTAACTTTATTTAGGGGGAATGTCACTTTGTACCCCAAAAGATTTAAGTTTTCACACTTTGTCCTTTTAAAGATGAGATTTCTCATATTATACCAATAATTTATTAAAAATATTACAATATAACTCTTGTATCAACTTCCGTTACTCTTTCTGTCAAAAAACATAATTGAGATTAATAGAATGAATAACTAAAACCAATATAAGAATCACATTGTAACATTTTAATACATTGAATTGATGGTACAATATAAAAAATTTAATATTTAAAAGTACAAAATATTTTTTTTTAATTTTTTTAAGATACAAAAATTGCAATTCGTCTCTTTATTTAATTTGAGTTTTGTTTTTCAGAGTCTTCATGAGAAAAAGAAAGCTAAATTATACCGTGCGCCCCTTAGGTTGCATGAAATAACACAATGGGCCCTATTCTCTACAAGTTTCTAACGTGCATACCCCCTTCCTCTCACGGAAACTGCCAACACTAGTGTGACATCTTGAACAAGGGTTGTATTATTAACATTTTGTCATATGGTTTCTTTTTAGGTTGTTATCATGCGTGTAAGCTTTTTTGAGACCCCTTGCTTGGGTTGGGATGTAGCGGCTAAGTACCATAGAGCTAATAGCCCATCGTGCCAATCTCCCAATCCTCTCTGTTTTTTTTTTTGGTCCCCTCGTTTGCCACCGCCATGACACTAGTTCTTTTAATTGCATTCAGCACTGTTAACATACCAATGTGAAAAAAGCAACAGAAATTCACCTAAAAACAATAAAATTCAGCTAAAATTCAGTATGCTTATTTCTGGAAGCTATTGTCTACAATGAAGTATCATGTGTAATAGATACCCAGCCATCAATATGATTTACAACATGTTTGCTAATTGCAGTGTCATTCAAAAGAATGGAACTATACTTGTTGCCAAAAAAAAAAAAGGTGAAAAGAAAAGAGAAAAAAACCAGTATGTGTATATGTCTACAGGAGTTCCCGTCTGCTCACCACTAAAATTGGGTTTTTTCTATGTCAAAAGACAAAAATATAACCAGAACCCCAGCTTCCTTGGATTCAAATCTTCTATTTAAGAAGCCTTGATAAATCCATAATAGTCTTTTCTTGTTGCTTAAGTCTTGGTATGATTCATCATTTCTGTTGTCTTCTTTTTCCAGGATAACCTTTAATGCACTATTGAAGTTTTTTTTTTCTTTTTTTTTTTCCTTGCAGCAAATATATAAAACACTCATAGGCCAACTGCCTCAGATATAGATGAGTTTCACGATCGAGTAGCCTCGCGGTTTAAAAAGAGAGCATAGAGAAGCTCATTCCACGCATCTGGGACTCCAGGCAGACACCAATGGCTGCAGTCCTGCCTATGGAGAGGGGCAGGCCCGACCTTAGGACCCAGATAGTATACAGATGAATGCCCATCTTTCCTCCTCGAAGTCATATGGGTCACATTTAGAACCTCTAACGCTTTACCATCTGATACATTTGAGTGATCTGATAGTACATCGAGGAATACGCTCCATCGGGACCAAGTGTGGGATGACACCAATGAGGAACCCAGCTCTGGTAGTGTCTCCGAGTGACAGTGTCCCCCGGTTCTCCAATCCCCTCCTCTGCAAATACCATGTTAGAGGTTACATCCTCAAACCAATATATGCATAAAGGATTACTCAGAAATAAAGGTAAAACAAAGCAATCAGGCTTGTAATTAAAAGGCATCACATGCAGGAGGATAACAACTTGCCAAGAAGTTGACTCAACAACGAGACTCAGCTTTGATCTAAAAGAATAAGGTTTTTGCTTGATCAATAACTATCTTCAAACTATTGATAGGTTTGTGACAATCGTGTTGAAACTTTGTTTCTCTTAAATTATATTTTGTCTGATATGTGGGTTTCTAACACCACATTACAGTTTAAGCAATGCAGCTTTAACTTTCCTAACATAATGATTTTGCTCAAATATGCGTGAATAACAGTGTTGCTTAAAGACATGGACCACTTGGTTGCTCCATCCATGCACAATTATCAAGTCCTGTCAATGTCTTATGATTGATGCTCTAGTCATGAAAAGTACAATCAATACTTGTTCAAATTTTAAACGGCACCACAGTCAAAATCATGTGGGACAGATACAAATATTTCTTAGCTGGAAGTCACCAGGCAAAATATCGAGGGATTCCGGCAGATTTGTGGAGTGGAAATAATAAGACATGAAAACACAGTAGAAACTTCAAAGAAAATAACAATCGAGACAAACCTGAAATGTACAGGAGCATATGTGCGAAAGAACACCTGGGTCTTGCTGTGGTTCACTTGACGATGTATCCAGTCTACAACTGTTTCTATGGACCTCCGGTATGCACCATCAACTTTCATCTCCATATTCACCTCTGCTCCCTCTTGGAAGTAACAACCCCTAAACAGTACATTGAATCTAAAAGTCAAAATGCATATGGAAACAAAACACAAGAGTATAGATGCATTATTGCCTCCCCAAAAGCAAGATGACATTGGCTGTGGATGATTTGAATCATCTATCAATTCTCTACCATATCTCAAGGTTTGATGTTGGCGTGCACACATTAAACAGCAGTATTGGCCTTAACAAAGGGCATCTTAGCTAAAAATTTGTACCTAAAAGATGCATGCAACAAAAAAAATAGGAAACTAATGCTAAAAGACCAAATTACCCTCTTATGGTCTTCTCATAATTCCACCAATGCCCCGTATTGAAAACCAGCACATCTGCGTCTCTCCACTTCAAAGAGCTCCAATCCATCTGATCTAATTTCAGTGTAGTTTTTATTTTTGATGATGAAGTTCCAGGAGGAGGCCGGCTTTGCAATACAAGAAACGGAGCCCTGTAGTACTCCACAGTGCAGTTGTACTCCTCAAATTTGAAAACTAGAAACCCTTTGTGCTTTGTGATTGGAAGGCCATTCACTTCATAGATAGCACTCTTATTTGGAACTGCAGAAGAGAGCATGCAGAGGATGGACTCCCACTGGTTTCTTCCAATAGAGTCCCCAACAAATACTAACCGTTTGTTCTGCAGTTTCTCTAGCATCATCTTTGCATCAAATCTGTTTCAATCGAGCAAATTATTTTCTTCTTTTTCTTATTAAACCAAGATAGACAAGTTTATATACAATGAATCAGAAAATACTAAGACAAATATGTAAGAAGATACCATGCAAATGAATGGATGAGAGTTCATTGATTCCCCTAAGGCCTAAACCCACAAAGTTTTGATTCATTTCATTAAATTCCAAAATGGAATGAAAATGAGAAAAAGAAAAATATAAGGTTATACATCATCACTAATCACTAATTCAACAAGCGGCTAGTGGCTGAGAAAGATACACAAAAACTGGTCCTCTTTTTATTCATTCTTAGGGTGAAAACCATTATATGCTTGTAACATTAAATCGGGTGTGCTGAACAGCCAAAACTATTTGATGGATTGAATAGCATCACACAATCACCAATATCAGTTAAAGATTTATCAAATCAACAACCAATAAATGGTCCAGCCAAATGGAAACAAAAATGATGCTAAAATGTTTTCAAGAGAACTGAATTTGGCCTAAAAGGCATAAAACATTAAAGAACATCGTCCATTAATTCGTATGCATCGTCCATAAGTTTGTATGCATAGACATTGAAAGAAACAAAGCAAGATGCCAAGAACCAATGAAGAGAATAAATATAGAAAAACAAAAGGAAAAAGGACAAAGTCCAAAAAGAACATAGAAAATTCACCAACCTTATGCTTGACAGTGCCTCAAATGATTCAATAATTTTATTTTTATTTTTTTGGGTACAATTCAATAATTTTCAATCCTGTGAACTATATTATCTTGTATAAGAACACTAACCCAAAAAAAAAAAATCTTGTTGAAGAATAAATAGCAGTATATGGATTGATTCTGAAGGGAAACCACAGGAAGTGATCTTTTTCATAGCACAGTGAGACTAAATCGTGTGAAATGTGGCTTGTAAGAAAATTACATATAATACTAAGGGAACAGACGAAACACACAGCCAACATCAGAAAGTTCCAAAACAGAACTGACAAAAATCCATAATGCCGAATCCTGCATTTGATTACCCAGAAAATATGAAACACGGAAGTTATCCAAACAATTGTGACGAACTGACTTGTCCAACTCCAATTTAATATTCAACATTATATATCAACTTCTTGCCACAAAACTACGTTTTTCCCAGAAATCTGAGGAAAATGAATTTCCTAAAAAATTCCAACAAAACACAGAAATTACCAAAAAATTGTGAGGCACTTAGATGTTCAAATCCAATTTAATATTCAAAACTCATTTTACCATTCTTGCTACATAATTATCTAATTAACCAAATTGTTTCCATCAAAATGAAATTCAAATGAAAACCTGGGCAAGTTGCAATCTTTGGGTTGCCAACGCCATTTGGTGTAGAACAAATCAGGCCTTCCATTCTCAGAACACCTAAACCCGTCATCCAAAAACCTGCAATCTCTGGACTGATACAAAGGATAATTCTCATCCCACACCCAATCACCTTCAAACACATCACACCCACTGCCCTCCTCACTCAAATATTCAACTTTTTTACTCTCACTAGAGCCATCAAATTTCGACCACAATAACCTTTCAGATTGGGTTGAAAATTGAAGCCCTTTTGCAACCGCTCTGTAATCCAAGTAAAAGAAGCAAAAAATAACAGAGACAGTAGCAAAAAATAACCCAATAACGCCCAAAGAGGGCTCAAGTAGTTTCAAACGCTTGATTTTCTTGAACATATTCATGCAAGTCAGTGTCTCAAACTTTGATGAGATGGCTTTTTAGACATTGTACCTGGAGCTAGTTTTGGGTATCTGGTAGAGAGAGAAACATATACTAAGAGGAAAGAGAACAGGTATACAGGGGTAGTGTGAAAGCAAGAGAACATACACGGCCAGTTGGGTTAGTAATGACTACTGGCAATTTTATTGAGAGTCTGGTCAGTTAGGAAAGAGATGGGTGTGAAAAAAGCAAGGTAGCATTCACGGAAGAACTGTAAATTCACAAATTACAACTTTCTTTCTGCTTTTTTTCAGAGAAAGAAAAGAGAGTGGGAGGTAAATAGAAAGATGGTGGGTCTGCTGCTGGTAACGATGATTAACTCCCAAATCTAGGGACAATCTGGAAATGCTGAATTTAAGTATAGAATGTCTCTCTCTCTCTCTCACAGACACACACACTCAAACACACGAGACTATGCTTATAAAACTGTGTTTAGAGACAGTTTTAGAAAAGGAAAAGGTGAACAGTCGCACTAAAAACGTGGGTTCGTGATTTATGGGTGGTGGCCAAAGAACAGAAAAAAAGTTATATAACGGATAAAAAACTAGTGTACCACGTTTTGCCTTCGAGGGCCGTTTGGAAACCAGAATTAAATCAACCAAGGGTGAGGATAACTGGATCTTTGTAGATAGGCATACCAATGAATCAGATTCGTATCAGAGAATCCGATTAATTATATATAAATTAATATTTTTTATTGATAATTTGAATTTGATATCTTATATTTTATTAATTCAGATTTAAATATATCTATATTTAATCCGAATTATTTATTTATTTTTATACAAATATTAAAAATTAATTAAAAAATTTAATTAAAATTTACGTATAATTTGTTAAAATTTAGTTCATTAAATTTTTTTGAATCGGATCGAATTTTTGGATTATTAACGAATTCAAATATAGACTACGAAAATAAAATCTGTTGGATTATCAAACTAAACTTTTGAAATTGAATTCGAATTCGGATCAATCAAAATCCGATCTAAGCCCAATCCTTTGCGGGAAGGTATGTATTTTGTAAAAGTAGATATGATTGAGTGGTCCGGCGAATAAGAATTTGAGTTTGCATAAGACCATCTTCGATGGAGATTAGTATCCTTATTCAAATTTGAGTAAAAAAAATGTAAAAAATTTTGATTTGGTATAAACCACTCTAATGAAGAAACTCAACTTTAAAGAAATAGAAACTCAAATTTAAAAGAGAGTAAAATATGATTATTGAATCTTTAAAAAATGATGAAATCTAATCATTAAAAATTTAAGTATGAATTTGAATCTCCCTTAATTTGAGTAAAACAAAGAGTCACCCTTAATTTAATAAAAGTATAAGTCTATCATTGGAAAAAATTTTAAGAGTTTCTTTTACCAAATTTAAATTTAGATTTAAAAAAAATGTAAGAATTGAAGATGCTCTAACTATGACATTTAATAGAGTTAAACTTATTCTTTAGTGTAAGATAATAGCTTAAAATGTAAGGGTGCAACTCAAACGGGTTGAGTGGTCAATCATAACCAAATCCTAAGTATATAATTCTCAATTCTAACCCTGATTCTGACGCTAACCCTAACATTAATCCAATGTACTCAAGTAGAGTATTGCATAAGTTTAAAAATGAAAATTTAATTTTTTTTCTAAAAAAATCACAATATATATAAATAATTATATTATATATTAAAATTTAATTTGATTGTTTAAAAGACCAAATTGAACTATCAAATTATCCCAATTAAAGTTAGAATATATGGTGTCCATTACGATTTGAGCTCTTGTTTGATGTTTTAGTTTTATTCAATTAGATAGTATGATTGTATACTAATTATGATTTTTTAAGAAAAAAATTAGATTTTTATTTTTGATTTTATTTTAATAAAGACACAATAGAACATGAATTTTGGTTGTAAAATTCATGTTCTATTATGAATAACTTCGACCCATTGTTTGATTTTATTTTTTTTTAATTTTATTTCAATAGATAGTATAATTGTATACTAATTACCATTTTTTAAGAAAAAAATTGGCTTCTTATTTTTAATTTTATTTCAATAAATGATACAATATAACATAAATTTTGGTTGTAAAATTTAAAATATTTGATAATATATCTTTGAATGAAGTATTTTTTGTCTAAATATAATATTTTAAACTCGAAGAGTCTAAGTATTATACGTCTACAAATTTCAAAGAGTCTGAATGTAATTTAGTAATAGATATAAAAATGGGCATTTGATAGTAAGGGTCTAAGTGTTTCGCCCGTATAAATTTTAGAAAACCCGCGTGTAATACTTTAAATATCAAAAAATTTAAGTAATTAAATAACAAATTTAAAAGGTCAAAATATAATTTTTCCAATAAAAAATCGAATCTCGTTGTAAATGGGTTGTATTTTGCGAGGCATTGTCATAACTGTTTTAATAATGATTATTTATTTATTTATTTATTTGACTTTTTCAAAGTAGGATTACCTTTAGCTGTCAAGTTTTTTTGTGAAAATAAATGTGACAAAATGTGTGCTGTCAATTCTCTTCCTCACTTCGACGCAATTATCATATTTACACTGTTAATTTAAAGGGTGGAATTTAGCACGAGAATAAGGGAAAATTTCATTCACATTCTTTTTAATTTATCATATTTTGAAAGACATTTCTTCTATTTTTTAAATTTTCACCGACATTTCCTATCAGATTAGAGATATTCATTAGAATGCAATATTACTAAATTGTTCACAATATATATTTTTTTAAAAAAACTTCATCCATACCCTCCATATATAAATATATTTTTAATGAGACTCTCTTTATTTTTTAATTTTTTTTATGTATTTAAATTCAATTCAAGCTAATTAAAGTTTATTTTTTATGTATTAAAATTTAAGTCAATTAAAATTTTATTTGAAGCTCAAATCAAATTTTAAATGACTCGAATTAAATTTTAATCAGCCCAAATTTTAATACATAAAAAAAATATAAATTTTAATTGACTCAAATTTTAAAATGTAAAAAATAAATTTTAATAAACTTAAATCAAATTTTAATAAATAAAAAAATTATAAATTTTAATCGAGGTTAACAACTCAAATAAAGCTCAAATCGACTTGAATTTTAATATATAAAAAAATAAAATTCAATCAGCACGAATCAATTTTTAATATGTAGAAAAAAAATTTAATTAGCTCAAATTTTAATATGTAGAAAAATAAATTTTAATTGACTCAAATTTTAATCAAATTTTATGTAGAAAGATTGTTTGAGATTTATTTTGAGGTAATTTTGGTATTTTAAATAATTTATTTTTGTTATAAATGGTAGTTTAATGGCAAAGAGTGTAAGTAGTGTTTAAATATAAATTAGAAGAGTGTCAGTGATTTTTTGATAATAGAGAAAATGTCATTAAAAATATAATAAATTAGAAATGATGTGATTGAAATATTTTTCTTGATAATAATATTGTTCTCGAGTTTCGTTTTTTTTTTGTCGCGAAATATGATATCATTGAATTATAATTGTTCTTGAGCTCACGTCACGGAAATAATTTCCCCACGTCGAGAAATAGAACTGTTTACTTATGCACCCTCAATGCTCCGAACCCACAGCAACGCAAAATTCATTAACTAAACCGACGTTTTCGCAACAACTATATCACCAACTTCGAACTGCTACCTTAAATATGCACCAAGACTAGAACAAACATATAGTTGATGTATATATGCGAGAGGTCCAATATGCACAATGACTATGGCAACATACCTAATCTTTTTGCAGCCGACCTTATTTAATACAGATATAGCCCGTGCCTGAAGGTAAGGTAAAACATAATATTCGAGCGTTCAAAAAATTAATTTTACTATACGAAATAATAATTGTTTACTTCTTTGTTTCTTTCATTGCATCATTTAAAATTAATTTTTACCTATTATTTTTTTAAAAATAACGTTAAAACTTTTTCAAAATGTATAACTCCGATAATTTTTTTTTAACACGCGTACACTAACGTGTGTGGACAATGTATGAAATAAAAATTGTTAAATAATTAAACCTGTGATAACATTAGATAACGTGATGTGTTTAGGAAGAAAAATGTATAAGAGATAAAATTCAACTTATTTTCTTGAATTTTGGGACAATTTACAATCCCACGAGGACGAGTTATGACTCAATAGGGTCCAAAAAACTTAGAGATCGGTTCCAAGTTTTTACTCTTATCAATCCTAAACCCAACAAGCCATCTACTCTCTGCATAATTCAACTTCATTGTCTTATGTGACATTTAAGGGCATGTTTGTTTGAGGATAACGGTGATACAAGGAGGTGGAATTAGAAAAAATAGTACATGACATCCAATAATAACTTGTTTGTTTGCTTTTGTATATATGATACTATTTTTTGGGTCGCATTATCGATCCACTTGTTATGGTGACCGAAACCAATGTATATGGGCTTATATAATACCATCTAAGAGGTGGTATTATTTTTTGGGTTTTTGGTTACCAACGGTATTAAAGAGGTTAAAGACTAAATTACCCTTCGACTTTTAATGTTACTATGAGATTTGGCCACCAACTGTTTTTTGTTTTTTAAATTTATTAATTTTTTTTTAAAAAAAATTTGATTTTGAATTTTTTTTTTCTTGTATTATATTTAAGTGTACGGTGTCACCGTTTTTTTTTTACAATCTTTTTAAAAAAAATTATTTTGAATTTTTTTCTTGTATTATTTTAAGTGTATGCTGTCATTGGTTTTTTTAATTTTTTTAAAAAAATTATTTTAATTTTTTTTCTTGTATTATATTTAAACGTACGGGGTCACCAATTTTTTTTTTCATTTTTAAATTTATTTTAAAAATAATTAATGTTTTCCTTGTATTATGTTTAAACGTACGACGACACCAATTTTTAAAATTTTTTTTTTTCAAATTTTTTCTGTATATTCATCCGGAACATCCATACATATCTCTTAATTTTTTTGTACGGTGTCACCGATTTATAACATTAGATTCTTTATTTTTTACGTGAATTTTTTACATTATTCAGAATTTTTTGGGTATGAATTGTCATACCATGTATTATATCAAATATTGTGCAAAAACCTTACACAATTGAAATAATGAAATGAATGATGTTAAAGGTAAAATTACATATTTGTTATATAAGATGTGACAGAATAGATAGTTATTTGTAGAACTCACTTTACTATTGAACTAACAAACATGAAAGATGATTGAAATATTTTCTATTACTGGTACTAATTTTCAGTATTGAAAGTATAAATAATACATTTCTCAATACCACGTATAGCAATCCTCCAAACAACATGCCTTGAAAGTGAAGCTCTGAATTTTAACTATCTGGGAAAATTTCTAAATAGATATCCTAATAGAGTAACAGTTGACAGAGCCTTGCACCTCAATTAACTCAAGTCATGCTCAGTGGGTTAAATCACCTTTAATGGCTCAGAAGGTGGGAAATCACAGGCGCTCCCATAGAGCCTGGCAGTGAGAGCAGTGGGATTCCCATCGAACATTACTTGCTAACCTCATGGGAGTCTGGGAGAATCCTAAATGGGACATACAAGCCACTGGACCACCAACCCGATGGTGCTTGTTTTACAATTGACAGCACCCTTTTTTCATTTTTTTTTCCGGGGTTTGGGTTGGGAGTTTGTTTGAAGCTGGTTTTATGTGATTGTGTAAAGTCTAGTTCCAGAATATGATGAACGAACAAACGCCAATGAAGATGAACTACTCATTTATTTAGCATCATGCCTCCTCTTCATTACCTAGCCAGTGGTAAATGTTCTCTAACAACATTCAAGTTGTGGAATTGAGTAGTAGGGCAACATTTTGTTCACATAATATCAAAATCTTTTGGCTAAAGGGGACCTAACAGAGCAATGACATTTTTTTTCAAACATCATCTTTATTTCATTTTGTAAGATATAGTTTCACAGTAACTTCTGCTTCTTTGGCAGCTCAAAACTTTCGTCTAAACACAGCTTATCGGTGTAGTCTAATAACTGAATAACACAAGAACCTTTAATGTCTTCCAACATTGTGCTTGTCATTCTGTCAGCTTGACAGCAAATGTTCTTGCAGAAAGAACTAATCCAAATCAAATTAAGAAATTCCTATCCCCTACGAACTGAAACTCTTCAAAGGAAAGATTTTGTAAGGATAACATACTAGAATATTATGATCACAATTGTCATTTCTTAAGGCTCTTAAGTGCCTATCCTTCAAAACTCACCAACAAGAGCATGCAGCACTGCAGTTTTTGCAACACTTTGTATCTTTCACTTTATGATCCTAGTCCAGGATTACCTGAGCAAGTCATAGCCACTCCAAGAAACTAGAAGGCAAATGTGATAGCTATTATAACAATTAGCAATGAAGAAATGAGTTAATTACCCACTCTGCATTGGCGTATATGTCTGGATTAGCAAACTTTTGCTAATTAGATACGACGATTATCAAACACTTAACCTTCATAGCTGTCGATGTAAAATTGCTATCTTCCTAGGAACCAGAAAAAGCTCCACCATTCACTCAGAAAACCAACCCTCCTCAAACTACCATCGCTCGAATTTTGATTCCACCGAAAACAAACCACTAATGCCTCTCCACGCCAATGTGTCTCCTTAAGGAAACAATGATCTTAAACTCTTAATAAAACAGCATCAATTTCTAGACTATTTCTTACCCTAGACATAGCAAATATCTTTCTAATTGTCTCTATTCCTTTTTCAAAATCTCAAACCAACATAAGCAACACCTTTCCATACCAATGATCTACCAAAACTTCGCCTTCCATGATCAGTTCCCCAATTCCTTGAATCACTATTCTTATTTCTAAATCCCAAACTTCCATCTCAAAACCTCAGCATAAACCGTGAACCATCAACTTCGCATTATTATTATTATTATTATTATTATTTTTGCACTTTAAACCCAAATTAGTATATTTTCTTTACACGATAAAAATGGTAACTCTAGGAATAACTCTATACCCACAAAAAAAAAAAATCATTTCCATTACTGCTACTTCAAAATAATACTCTGTGAAATGTTGAATGGAAGAATGTAAGTAAAGCTCAGTTTTCCCTTCGAATAAAAAAATAATACTAACAATAATTATTTGTATGCATAAGTGCATAACCATCTAAAAGGCAAACAAGAAAGGGAAACCCACATTCCACTGCTTCATATATTAGCAAAAGAGCAATGGGAAAGTTTCTACCAGACAAATCTTTAGTTGGAGTTGTCATGAATCGGAAATTGACTCCGAGAGGCTTTCATGGGTTGTTTGGGCATTGTCGAAGCCATTAAGATTAAGCTGGTCTTTACGAGAAGGTTGAGATTGGTCGACAGTGTACTGTGATTTCTCCAGAAACGGCTTGAAACCCAGCTGAAGGGTTAGGTACCCAAAAGCTAGGGCTCCGATCACCACCACCCCTGATCTCATCGCGTTTATCTTCGCCGTCTCTCTCATTCTTTTCTCTCCTTTGTCCCCTTCTCTAATTTCCCTTTTTGTGTAAAACGACCTTGTACTGCTAGCAATTTAAGTCGCAGCTGCAGTCCCGGCCTGTTGATGGGTCGGATTTTTGTCCAAATTCTAACTAGTCCGGCCCAATCAAACCATCCTTCGTCCATTTTTCCGGATTTGACCCAACCCGTTTAATCCTTAATTAACAAATAATATTGGGAAAATTTCATTTTGCCTGTTGAAAGATACAAAAACTCTCATTTTGTCTTCTGAATAATTAATTTTTTCTCATTATCCCCCCAAAAAATAAAAAATATTACAATGTAGCACACCGTTTATTTTTATTTTGTCGTCTGTCTGTTTTGTAATTCCTGATTGGTTAATTTAGCACAAAACAAATGAACGACCAAACGGAAAATAAAGCGCAGACCACAATGCAGCATTTTTATTTTTTTGAAAAGGTAATTTAAAAAATTAATTATTCAGAAGGTAAATTAAAAAATTTTATATTTTTCAAAGGACAAAATAAAATTTACCCAATAAGATTATTGGTCCTACGGCTATGAAACCATCAAATTCTTGCTCTTTCCGGTCTTGTTTTTTTGGTCGGACACTATTAGAGAGGAACGGCGAAGTTTAAACCCAAAATAAAATCTAGCAGCAAGAACAGTGGTTATTAGGCCAACCACTCTTTCCGGGGTCTGAAACCTCTGAAATATAAAGAAAGTCTCATCATTCAATTACTCCATTCGACTCAGTCCATATTTTTGTCAGTACCCTTTTGAAAGTTCAATCACAACTGGAATGAGTGCGTGTGTACTGAAGTTCGACTTCATGGGTTCACTGGGAAAGGTCTAGCAGAAGCAATGCAAGTTACAAAGTCACCAACAGGACCTTAGGCACATTATTGTGAACAGAAGAGTTCCTTTATACTCTTAATCAGGCAAAATGCATGTCAAAAACCAGTATCATTTCCAAAGGCCCACACAGGGTTCATCACTGTCCTAATATTTGTCGCGCAACCAAGTATTAATAGGACATCCACCACCCGGTTTAACAAAATGCTCAGGACAAACTATATATATTCTAATAGGAATCGCACCAATCATACGACGCCCCATCACTGGAGGTTGAAAGCCTAAAGTAAACACAATAATAACCAATAAGCATCACATATTCACATCATCCCAAGGGATCATCAGTTATATCCAGAACTATGCTGGCAACCTCAAGACTTCATGTTGCCACGGTTAAGCAGCAAGATAAGATATCGTTCAACTAGCATTTTTCGTGCAAGATACATAACCTTGACACCATAAATGTTACAGGACACTTGCACAATTAGACAACGTAGGGATCACATTCAAAAGGAGAGTGATAGGTTTACAGTTTGATTCTCGTTGATTTGGAGTAAAATTTCACATTAAGTACCCTGCAACTTGACAATGTAAATGTACGTCAGAGGAGGTTAGAACTTTATAACATCTTTTTGATAGAGAAGTTAAAATTTTACAAGCATGAAAGTCATATTCTATGAAAAACAAAGCTGTGCTACTTCGATCTTTTTCTTTTTTGGGGTAATTATTTCTTCATAGATGGAAAATCTTGAGGGCTAATACTGACTTTCACTATCACTATAGTAAGTTCCCTTCTTCCATATTCAGATAATCTTCCCCATCAAACCCTTCTGCAAATGCCATTTCATCAGAGCATCAGTAAATAAAAGAGCTAAAAATAAGAACAATGTTGAAGAAAGTCTCTCGAAATAGTTTGAACACAAGGAATTCTCTTAAACAAGACAATATGGAAGATTAGTTCATTCCAATATCCTTGCAAAACAGGTTCACATGTAGATATGACATGGAGACATTCTAGCACAATTTTTCATTGTCTAAGAAAAGGATAGTGTGAGCGCATATTTTCAGTCTCAAAGAACGAACATGATAGTAACATGAAGCAATAAACTTAAAACACTGAACGAGGACCATGAGATTTGTCTATGTATAATGAGAGTCCACCTATTTTACAGGATGACGAGAAATGTAATAAGGATGGCGAGACACGCTCAATACTTCAAGTGTGAAGTATGATGATAGAATACTCACATCACCATGCACGTTTCTAGTCTGCCCACACCACCCCTACTCAAGAATCTTCAGGCGGTGGCTGTTGCTGTGGCCACATCTGCTGACCTATGTAAGAATGAGGCTGAGGGCCATAAAGGGCTTGATCCACAGGCTTCCCCATGTACATCCCTGGAGCTCCGACTTGTGAAGCATGTTGCGGTGGCATATAATAGTACGGAAGACCCTCGGTTGGAGCTCCAACAGGAAGGGGGCCCCTTGGGATGGATGAAAACACCTCATCTTTCAAATCTTCCCTTGGGACAATATCGACCAAGAAATCAAATATGTCAGTTCTAGTGATGGCTGCCGCAATATCATTCTTCTGAAGCGTCCTCCTTTTGTTCTCCTCTGTGTGATTCCAAGACCGCAAAGTCAACTCAAGGATAAACATCTCACACGCCCTGGCAAATACGACTGGAGCCTCAGCTGCTATCATTCTAACATCCTCATCTGCTTTCATAATCTTCTTTATCCTCGCCAATGGAAGGCTATGGTTTTTAAAATCAGTTGTCTGCTCGATATCTTGGTACTGGTTTGCCCAAAAATTGTGTAGTTGTTGCTGCAATTGTTGTTGCTGCTGCTGGTGGATGTGCTGATAAGCAAGCTGATTTTGTGCAAGCTGAGCTGGAGAGGCAGAGAGACCAGATGTTTGTGGGGGAGGCTGAACTGATCCAACTGGTGCAGGGGAAGAGAACCCCATCTTTTGGTTAGCTTGATATGGGGCCACACTATATGGCATCTGAACTGAGCTACCCACCACCCCAGTAACTGGAGGCTGGCCAGGCCCTTGCTGATCCATTTTGAGAGAGCAGACTCGCAACCTTTACTCTATGGGAATTTAAAATGTCGAATGCAGAAAAAACCATAAGATTTATTAGAACATAAAATCATATTAAGCACTTCATCATAGAAGATACCAAGCTTCAGTTAGTAGCTTTAAACCAGCAAATATATGGTATACATGCACACCATGCACCTATACAAGTAGCTGCTACTTCTACAGATAACTAAGAAATAAACATTTCCATAAATCCATAACAATCTCAAAAGTAATGAAAGTGAAAATAGATCCGAATGCAGATAACCTCTTGGAGATAATCCAGGAGAAAATCAAATAATTTAGGCCCATAGTCCTTTATGATTATCAAAATCCTCATATTTAAATTCCTCTTCAAGTGTTTCCACCATTCTTGTTAGAAGTTGAATTGCTACTCTCTGCAAGCATCAATTCTTGTTTGAATTCATTAAAAGACCAGTAGGCTTAATTGATCCATATACTAGAGCTTTGCATGGGAGCAGGGAAACATAATCTGCCAATTTCAACAGAGAAATCTCTCCAACACGCAAGATTGTACCATGGGAAACAGAATCCACGTCTCAATTGACTATTAATTATCAGATTCACACTCAGAATGAATAATCATTGGAAGCCAATTTCGATAATTTAACCCAGTTATCGACTACAGCTTTTCATCTCACTTCTTTTCGACAAAGAACTTCGCTGCAAGCAAACATATTTCAGTACGAAAAAAGTTGCCCTCTAGACATTCTGGAAATCTGTGCGTGCCAATGAAATAAATTGAACATGAATGTTTACCTTACAAAGAACCTTTGGAAACTTCTGTACTCTAACACTCTTTTAATTTATGTCAACTTAAATGAACAAATAATGCCGATAATGATGACTGAACACCTTCCATCTGATCAAACAGTGAAAAAAGAACACCATACCACCCACATTTGTAACCAAACATAGTTATTAAGAGCTGATAATCAATTCTTCCAAGGAAGTAAAAAGGAGGAGGCAAAGTAGAATTTTGTTGCTATCACTAATTGATAAACAAATATAAATTCAGAAAGCACCAATTCTCAAATCTACTAATGGCATCTATGGAAACCTCAATTACACAGTTAGTAACGATGCAAAATATTTCTCACGAACAAGCATCTACTAAAACAAGAAATTCAAGCTCACAACCAAGATGGGTTCGCACACACATATATATATACCAATAATCACATAAAAAAACCATTATTCTTGATTTCTAGCTGACATAAATACATGCATGAACCTAAATGACCAAAACGATACCTTGACAGCGATATTTACTTAGAATTCTTGGTCTTGCACAACGATCAAAACCTTACAACCAAAACCTAGAAAAGAATTAAGAGAATCATCATAAAACTTTGATCAAAATCAAATAAAAATCGATATCTACATAATGGTGTTCATAAAAATTCAACCTGTGTTTCGGCAATTGGATATAGTAACAGCGAGTGAGAGAGATATAGAGAGAGATCAACTAGGTTTTGGAATACAGAGACGAGCCAATTGAATGAAAGTGGAGGTCGACTCAAATGCATACATCTATTTACTTCCAAGTTCCAACTGATTAATATTCCCAATGACCTAAAACTACCCACTCTGACCTACTTTGATTTAATCTCGTGATTGAACATTTTGGTCTTTTATTTTAAATTATTTCTTTAAAATTTTAATTATTTATATATAATTTAAGAAAAATTTCAACCAGTTCCCTTCTAGTTTATCGCATCACTAAACATACCTCTCTATTATTAAAAACATCACTCACGCCCTTTTTAATTTAGACACCCTCGCCAGTAAGCCACTAATTATAACAAAAGTAAATTATCTAAAATACTTAAATTACCCATGTATAAACCTTAAATAATATTTTTACATAAAATTCAATTAAAATTTCAGTCGATTAAAATTTATTTTTCTATATATTAAAATTTGAGTTTATTAAAAAAAAAATTTCTACATATTAAAATTTGAGCCAATCAAAAATCGATTTGAATTGATTAAATTTTATTTTTTTAAAATTTAAACCAATTTGAACTCTACTTTGAGTTGTTAATCCCGATTAAAATTCTTTTTGAATAGATTAAAATTTATATTTTTTATTTTATTAAAATTTGATTCAATTTGATTCAAATTTGAGTCAATTAAAATTTATATTTTTTTATGTATCAAAATTCAGGCGGATTAAAATTTAATAGGAGTTGATTAAAATTTGATTTGAGCCTCAAAAAAAATTTTAATAAGTAAAAAAATATAATTTTTAATCAACTCAAATTTTAATAAATAAAAAATAAAGGTCCAAATTTTAATACAGAAAAAAATTAAAAAAATATAGAAGGATTCTCATTGAAGATATGTCTATTTAGAGGGGTGTGGATGAAATTTTTTCTAAAATATATTATAAGTGATTTAGTAAAATTATATTATAATTAACACTTTTAATCTGATAGAGAGATTCAATGAAGATTAAAAAATAGAGGGAATGTCCTTGAAGATATGATAAACTAGAAGGGACTTGGTTGAAAATTTTCTTATAATTTAGGGGATTAACTAAGATAATTGAAAGTTCAGGGAATTTATAATTTAAAACAAAGACATTTTATGAAATTTACTTACAAAATTATTGAATGATTTGAGTAGTGTCAATTCAACTCGGGCTCCACCCAATTTGATATACATTGAACTTCTTTTAATTTATTAAATAAATAAATTTTAACTCAAACTCATTTGATTGATGAGCAAAGTTAGCCGTGACTAAACTCGACCCAAGCTCAAATTGTTCCATATATACAAATTATTTATATTTTATTACAAGGTTTTATTAGCAAATAAATCTAGAATGTAAACACTTTTCTTTTATATTCTTCTCCAACGAATTATATAATTTTTGAATTTTTTTTGTTGTGAAGTCGATTACTTTAGGATTGAATATTAAGTTATAGTGTTTAAATTTTAAAATTATTTACTAAGAAATTAAGTTCAGTTTCAACTTGAGTTTAACTCACATGTATTTAAATTTCTATCAAGCTATGCTTGAGTAAAAATTTAATTTGCACAATCAAAACTCTGCTCAAACTCGAGCTGAGTTAGTCGCAATCAAACTAAATTAGAATATACTAAAAATAGAAAATTATTATTTTTTGCACTCGTCGTTTGTGCTATGTAGCTTTTGAAAACATCAACTTTGCTAAGAGCATTAATTTTTTTACTCCACCAATATTATTATTTAAGTTGTTTTAACATTTAAAAAAGCAAACATGATATGTATTTATATATTAATTTTGATGTACCTCAAAATAAATTTTAAACGCCAGCTCAGGAGGTCAGCTCAACCTAAGAGGTCAGAATAGACGAACAGAACGCGGAAGAGTAAAGTTGGAAGTCCCTTCGAGATAAGCAAGGGCAATAACCACCAAAGCAACAACTGAAAGATCACGAGAGGTTCCTAAAAGCGTTAGGAAGCAATAATCAAGACACCTAATCTCAATTAACCAAGATCTTCTCCTATAATCAAAGAGAACCCCATGAAATAAGGGTAAGAATCTCGGCCAAGATCCTACTGAATAGGGAACAGCTCTATAAATACTATGTAACGTCCCCAAGAAAAAGGGGAGGACCCTAGAGGCAAAAAACTAGCTAGTGTACTCTTGTAATCATCATTATTGAAAGATAAGGAGCAAGAGTCTCCATTAAAGAGTGGATTAGCCGAGCTCCCGAGCTGGTGAACCACTATATTTCTACTGTGTTAATTCTCCAACTCCCCAACAATTCTCAGTATCATTCATTCGAGTCTAGAATCTCAGATCCCAATAATTTCAATATTGTTTCTTTCATTTATTTGTTGTCACAAATTTGCATCACGTTGAAATACATCATCAGTTTGGCGCCGTCTGTGGGAACGACTGTTCTTGTTACGAATAAAGCTGATTTTTCAGTGACTGATGGTATCAACGCGAAACATGAGCCGAAGTCAGACCAATCATCTACGGATGCACGATTAACAGGAAGCTGTAAATAGCAGACAGCCCGAAAATGCGCAAGAAGCAGATCCCCCCCATAGGGAGTCTTCCTATGAATAATGAGATGGAGGTCATTCGTCTTATCAATGAACGTCTGATAAAACAGAACGAAGAGCTCTTAACGCTCCTACAACGCCCAAAGGAGGAGCGACCGGCCCAAGGAGGCCAGAATAATCCACCACCAACGGAGCAACCGCATCTCGACCCCCTCAGAGAAGTTAATAAGGTGGGAGAGAATAGCCAGACCTTGGGGCAAGAGTCTCGCCTACCTCCTAGGAATGGTCACAACAAGGAAGTACAAAGTCAGTATAAGGAAGGGGAGAGGAGCGACTTCTTCCCTTATCAACAGGAAAGAAGAGAATACCACTGAGAATAACGTTTCAAAGACATCCAGTAAGAGCTGAGCCAGATGAAAGAGGCAGTGAAGAGCAAGGCCTCAGTCTCGATGGATGCCTTGGTACAGCAAACCAAATCCTCATTCACTGTTGGGGTGTTGCACTTTCCTTTCCCACATAAATTCAGAATGCCACAGGTAAATGCTTTCGATGGGACAAATGATCCCATGGACCACCCCAACACCTACAAAAACCAAATGAAGTTGCATGGATATCAAGATCCAGTGAGATGCAGGGCCTTTGTTATCACCCTGAAGGGCTCAGCCTTAGCATGGTTCAATAGACTCCCCCCAACCTCGATCTCCTCTTTCAAAGAGTTGTTAATCTCGTTTGTGTCCCACTTCATCGGAGCTCGAACCTATAGGAAACCAAGCTACCATTTGTTAAATGAAACAGGGACCTAATGAGAACCTACGGTCTTATGTCCAACGGTTCAACTCAGAATCCTTGAAAGTGGATGTCCCAAACGAAAAATTTGTTATTACAGCCTTCATAGCAGGTCTAGGAGTTCAGTCAAAAGATATGATATTTTTCATCTCAAAGAACCCCTAGGCTAGTATGGCGGAGGTGCTTGCCAAAGCAGAAAAGTACATAAATAGTGAGGAAGCGCTCCTCTCCAAGGTCGGGAGCTCTTTGTCGAGAAAGGAGAAAGGGAAGGAAGAAAAGAAGAGAGAATGAAGTCCCAGAAAGGAAAGAGAACGAGGCAGGTCTCCAAGAAGAGACAGAGAGCATTCCCCGAAGAGAAGAGGAAATTTCAGGGATCGCCTCTCCACAACCAGAGCTACAACCGAGGTATGCACCCCGGTAGCTCACGCCTCTAACTGCTACGGTATCTCAAAAATTGTATGAGGTGCAACATGAGAAGTTTTTGAGGTGGCCACCTCGGATGAAAGTAGATCCGATAAAAAGGGATCCTGCGAAGTATTGTGACTTCCACAGAGACCATGGACATCACACCGACGATTGTATCCAATTGAAAAAGGAAATAGAATCTCTGATCCGGCTAGACAGCTGCGACACTATATGGCCAATGATAGTCAAAACCGAGCTCTACCACCTCCACCCCCTCAACATCAAGCGCCAAAGCCACACTAGCAACCTATGGGGGAGATTAAAGTGATATCTGAAGGATTTGTTGGAAGAGGAAGGTCCAGCTCTACTAGAAAGGCCCACTTGCGAAAAATCAGAGCCACAGAAGCTCTCAAAGTACATACTGTGTCTAAGGCTCCACGCTTAGACACGACTATCACTTTCTTAGATTCAGATCTGGAAGGCTACCAACATCTCCATGATAACCCTTTGGTGGTAAGAGCTATGGTGGCCAACAAGACTGTCCATCATGTTTTGATTGATAATGGCAGCTCGACATACATCATTTTTGTTTTTGCCTTCAACAAGATGGATATAGAAAGGGAAAAGCTTGAACCAGTAAGTGCTCACCTATTGGGATTCTTAGGAGAAAGGGTGCTGCCACTAGGGTCAATTCAACTCATCTTGACCTTAGGTGACCCACCCTGTCAGGCTACAACAGTTGTGAGATTCTTAGTGGTTGATGCACCTTCAGTATACAATATACTCCTTGGAAGACCCTCACTCAATTCTATAAGGGCTATTCCCCCTGTCTATCACCTTGTAGTGAAGTTTCCAATAGAAAATGGAGTTAGAGTGGTCCGAGGAGACCAGTGCGTAGCACAGGAATGCTACATGGCATCCATGAAAAATAAGGAGGTCGAGAGCATCCAATTGGATGAGCAGGACATGAGGGATGAGCTCGAAACCAAGCCAACACCATCAGAAGAGCTAGAACCTATTCAAATAGATGAGGAGCCAGAACATCTCGTCTACGTTGGATCCAAGCTGAGTAAGGAGATCAAGGATCTCCTCATTCAATTCCTGAAAAGGAACAAGGAAGTTTTTGCATGGAAGCAAGAGGACATGAAAGGGATTAATCCTTCTGTCATCACTCACAAGCTCAGCGTAAATTCAACCTATAAGCCCGTTAAGCAGAAGAGGAGGAGCTTCACCCCAAAGCGTCAAAAAGTCATCAACGAAGAGGTCAGCAAGCTCTTTCACGCGAAAGCCATTCAAGAAGTGGATTACCCAGTCTGACTAGCTAATGTAGTCCTAGTCAAGA